AAGGGGGCAGGAGAACACATTGACTGCACCAGCCACCAAAGTCTAGCGTCAAGGGGGCAGGAGAACACATTGACGGCACTAGCCACCAGAGTCTGCCGTCAAGGGGGCAGGAGAACACATTGACGGCACTAGCCAGCAGTCTGGCGTCAAGGGGGAGCAGGAGAACTTCACCAGTATGGCCGGAGTCATATTCAGGCAGTATCTCCTTCCACTTGTGTGTCAATTAACCCGCGCCCACCGGTAGGTGTACTGTACTTGTTTACGAGTCTTGCATTCCACCCGGGGAGTCCTTTTAGGCGGGCTCTTGCCTAGCGCATTGCGCTAGACTCATTTTTGCGCCTTCCTTGAGTCATGGAAGCTAGCGGTGTTTACGGGAGACGGGTGGGAAGGTCCGTGAGGGTCTATTTTTATAGCTAAATAGGATGTCATGTGTAAGGTATGGCATCTGTTGCTTATGGCGGCTTTTTGACGGGCTGTAGTTTGGTAGAACTTAAAGTTGGCGGAAGCGTTTTGATAATAAATTGGAACTGAATTATTGAACCTGAACGGTTAGTTTTTGTCTGTGGTTAATGGAATTTTGTTTCAATTTTTTTATAGTTTTTTTTGTGTAAATATTGGATTAGTAATTGACTTTTGGATACGAGTTAGGTTGGCTGTTTCGCCCCTTCCCTGAGGCGGCGGGCAACCCTCACTGTGTGGTGGTGAGGGGAGTGGCTGGTGGTAGTCTCCCCTCACCAGCAGCAGCAGTAGTAGTGGTAGTCGTGGTGGTGAGGGGAGAGGATAGCGTCTCCTCCATCCCAAGCGGCGTGGCGCGAGGGGTAAACACAGCCGGGTGTGGCTAGGGGACGGGGGACTCACTAGGCTAGCCATGGACGTCCTAACAAAACTATCCCTGGACGGAGCCCCTGACCTGCAGTGTCTCTAGTCGCTAGTGAGGGGAGAGTGAGTCAAGGGGAAGGAAGGAAGGAGACGGAAAATAAGGGAAGAGACTGAAAGAAGAGAAAAGAAAAACCTTTTCGGTTTTCCGAAGGGAAAACCGAAGAGGCTTCAACATCCTCCTTATATTCTATAAATTAAAAAGTTGCTAATTTTCTCGGTTTGATATATTTTAAATATGCACGAAAGAATATAGGTCTGAAGGAAGCTTAACGTGTTCTCAAGAAATGAAACATTCTTGAATTTTGGGATAGATATAGGCTCGTTTAGGGTTATTGCTTGATATCTGGAACATGGAACTTGTTAGGCTTATTGAGCTACCCCTATAGGCCTAGAGCAACTACTAACCTTCACGATGCAACCCCAACAACAGTTTGCTAACTCGCCCAGGGTATTACAGTTTAGTGAACAGAGGTATCAGGCGTAAGAAAACGTGTCGCAAGAATTGAACCAACATTTTCAAAATTTAAACCAGAAATAACAGTAATGTGAGATTTTATACTAAGTTCTGTATAAAGAATATTTTATTTCTTTATTTATTTCTATACAAAATTTGTTATTTGTTATAGAGTAAAAGAAAGCTGTAATTGTCAACAGCAAACACATATCGTGTGTGTGATTAGTAAATATAACGACGCGTGTGTGATGAATACTGGTGATTGGATCAAGGATTTGAGTGAGATTAGCCTATGGTGACGGATTAGAAAGTTGATTGGAGTGTAATGAATTGTGTCTGGAGCAACGAAGGGGTTGGCCGACGTCTTGGCCCGTATTAAGAAAGTAGAGAGCAGCAACAGGCCGGCAAAATGATGAATAGGTTCATAATATTGTAATACAAGTAGTAACTAGTGAAACTATTGTGGTGAATTGACAGTACCAATGTGGTGAGATTACGGAACGATAGCATAATGGGCCCGACGAGGATAACAATATAGTGACGGAAGGAATATATCAACCAGCAGAATGACTGACTGACTGGTTCAGGCGCTTAGCCAATGTATAGTGACCCAATTAGGGCCTATAGTGATGCAAGGACACGGTCAATAGTGACTCTTGGGCACTATGAGTTTATGCCTAACGATGTTTTGCTGCACATTTAGCTGTCGTCACCATTGCAACTTGAGTCGGATATTCTATACAGTGAGACCTGTTTGTCTGTGCTCGTTCCCCTGCTTCAAGTGTGGTACTTGTTGTGTATGCATAGTTGTATTAAAGTTAAGGGGTGGAGAGAGAATTCGAAGGAGAGTGATTAAGTCTGCAGGGGAGAAGGGAGTTAATTCATTTATGAACGGCTATTGTTGTTGCTGTATGTGTTATGGGGGGGGGGTTGCATGTGCATGTTGCAATTAGTATAATTGTTTTAGGCCTAGGATGGTTAGGATATTAATTGATTAGTAACGTAAATACAATTTTTTTTCCGGTTTGTCCAAATTCGGTAGTACCCAACTCTGCTTTCCAATTGCCCATTACGTCAATATGTGTACGATTTTGTGGATGGTTACTATAGGTACTGTCTACACAGGAGGACAGGCTGGTGTGTTGTGTAGTATGAGGCTATGAGCTGTATAAACAGTAATTTGTGAGTGTAGTATGAGGCTATGAGCTGTATAAACAGTAATTTGTGAGTGTAGTATGAGGCTATGAGCTGTATAAACAGTAATTTATGTGTGTAGTATGAGGCTATGTGCTGTATAAACAGTAATATGTGTGTAGTATGAGGCTATGTGCTGTATAAACAGTAATATGTGTGTGTAGTATGAGGCTATGAGCTGTATAAACAGTAATATGTGTGTGTAGTATGAGGCTATGTGCTGTATAAACAGTAATATGTGTGTAGTATGAGGCTATGTGCTGTATAAACAGTAATATGTGTGTAGTATGAGGTTATGTGCTGTATAAACAGTAATATGTGTGTGTAGTATGAGGCTATGAGCTGTATAAACAGTAATTTATGAGTGTAGTATGAGGCTATGAGCTGTATAAACAGTAATATGTGTGTGTAGTATGAGGCTATGTGCTGTATAAACAGTAATTTATGAGTGTAGTATGAGGCTATGAGCTGTATAAACAGTAATTTATGAGTGTAGTATGAGGCTATGAGCTGTATAAACAGTAATATGTGTGTGTAGTATGAGGCTATGTGCTGTATAAACAGTAAATTGTGTGTAGTTGAAAGCTTCTTTGTTGGATGTCGCATGTGTGTGTCTTCAGATATAGTTTAAGGTTTGGATGTTGGATGTGCTGTTGTACTGGTGATAATATCGAGGGGTCAGATCAGCCCCATTGTCGAATAGAGGTCAGAGGTCAAGCCGCGTACGTCAGGCAGCGCAGCAGCAAGGCGCTTTTAAGACCTTTGATGTATGACCTTTAGTTATCAATTTTATTTATATTTTTGTTATGAATTATTAATTGGCGAGAACGTTGCAGTTATGTCGATATCTGGATCGTGCAAAGCTGGTAATAAGCCCAGGCTAGATGGGAAATATAGACCTCATTTCTACCTGTTCATTAAGTATTTGTGTAATTAATGCTAAATACATATGATTTTTGGATGGTATATACATGTGCGTATAGTGTATATGATGCACTGTACTTACAAGTAGCAGAACGGAATAAATAAGAACGGAATAAAAGAACTATAACGATTTATAAAAAGCCAATGGCAAGCAATTTTTATTCAAGTCTGCCTCACTCAAGTCTTCATAGTTGTCCCATTGCCATATCAACTGACCTCCATTGGCCCCTAGGTCTACTACTGCGGAGATGAGCTCCTGGCTCTTGGGCTCCGCCTCTCAACCTCTGATTGTGTATATGTTCCAGATGTTATTGGGCTCACTCGTATCTCCATTTTAATTTAAGCTGCCTCCATGTTTTGTATCATTAGCAAGTATTGAGAGAAATGACCAGTTCTGTGGTCATTTGCATTGATTAGGCATAGAATAGGCCTTAATGTAACTTCCTGTGGGATGCCACTTGTAAAACCGTCAGAAGTTTCAAAGTGTTATATATAAAGAGTGCTGGGAAGACGTGACACCACGTGCGTAGCAATCCGTTGACTACACTTAGGTAATTACATACACAGCAATGTATAAACTTAGCAGATAAAATAGCTAGGTGGCAAAAGGATATACAGTGTACTCCAAGAGATGTTCCCCCCCCCCCTAATTCTCAGTGTATATAGAGTACAGTATAGAGTCTACTCTATTCTATGTTTATAGTCTATACTGTACACTGAGAGTTGACATCGCTTCTAAACTAGGTTCCGAATTAAAGTATATTTACTGGTAATTGGTAAACTACTTTAATGGCCTTGATATTCCTCCCATAGTTGACAGGCTTTAAAACCCGCCCTCTTAACAGGACGCCACATTTTGACACATACTCTACCTAAGACCTAAAACTGTCATACTAGAAAATGGAAGCGGCTCGTGAAATTGACATAATGTCCCATTTTCTGTTTGTGGGTCCTCTGGTTGGTTAAGATAAGGGGACACTAGTACGACAGTTTCTTGACGTTGGAAATGCTTGCGAGAATGGGCGTTCTCGCTCCTGTAACTACTGTACTAAGAAGTAGGCTAAGTATCCACGCAGTCATAACCCTCCTCTATCTCCTCTTTTTGACAAATTATTTTTCATTACCATTCAAATTTTATTTCGAGGTACACCGCTATAAGCTTATGCCGATTCAATTTGTTCAATTCAGTCTCGCCAACTATCAATTGTCATGATATTTAATACTATATGCTTATGCAAAAGCAAATTCAGATAAAACATTTTATACAGCTAATTTTTATTGCTTGATTCTTTTTTGGCAATACTTGTATACAAAAATATCAGAAGTTTATAGAATGAGCTTTCTATGTGCAAGTAAGTTACTTCTTAGAATTAACGTTCTTAGCCTATTAAACAATTCATTTTCCATGTTATGCATTTTAATGCTTTATGAATTATCCCTATGATGTGATCAAGGGAGATGACTCCTTCTCCTTGGCTTTGGCACACAGGTTGTGAATTTCCTCTCTTCTGCTATGTAATCCGTTACATATTTTCAATTTTCCTTGCAGTTCTGCACCACCCCGTTGACGGTCGAAGGCACAGTGCCGGAGCTGGAGAGCAATGACACAGACCCTGAACCCCTGCCGCCACCCATACCCCCACATAGTGTGGACCCTGCCTCCATCCCTGAAGTTCAGCCCACGTCCTGTGAGCAGGTCGACCCTGATATCATGACGGCCGATGAGGCTCAGCGGCTTCTTAGTGCCAAGTAGGTGGTGGTGGTGGCTTCCACCTCACTTCGGGTGCCCTCCGCCCAACTTCGGGTGCCCTCCGCCCGACTTCGGGTGCCCTCCGCCCGACTTCGGGTGCCCTCCGCCCGACTTCGGGTGCCCTCCGCCCGACTTCGGGTGCCCTCCGCCCGACTTCGGGTGCCCTCCGCCCGACTTCGGGTGCCCTCCGCCCGACTTCGGGTGCCCTCCGCCCGACTTCGGGTGCCCTCCGCCCGACTTCGGGTGCCCTTCTTGACCTGTTGTGTAGACCCCTATTGTCAATTTATTCCTCTGAAATGGGATTGAGATGAAATTTATTATTTATGATTTGTTCGTAAATTAATGTTTTGAATTTTGTTGTGATTCTCAATTTAGTTTAATATCAGTTGTATCTTTATTTCTGTAATGCCTTGCTTTAATGATCAGTGTACTATATTCATATCTATCATATCTTGTTTTAAATGCATATTAACATATTAATCTTGCATGAGTATATACCCCTAGTAAATATTGTAATGCTCATCCATATATATTACTCGTATACTGTACTGTATTATGACTTGGTAGTATATAGTCTTAGGTTAAGGAATGCTGCCAATTTTACCCAATGTTTACATAATATTGCATCTCCCTCCCCTCCCTCTTTCCCCTACCAGGTGCATGATCAATATCAACTACTCCAGTTTCTTTGATATCTTAAGCTGTCCTTTCTAGAATCTTGGTTATCAAGACATTCAATTACTTAAAACCTGATACAGTATTCCAATGTAGTATTGCGGTTGAACATATTGCAGGTTTTCGTAAAATAGACAAATCTGGGATAGGCTTTATCAGGCCCAGGTTAGCCATAAGGAAAAATTAATGTCACGCCTGTCATGGCTGGAACAAATATACATTAGAGAACAGGACAAGATGATATTTTGGTCAGTTTGGAAGGGCCTAATAAGGTCCCAGGATGGATTGAAATGTTGTCATGTTCTCTGCTCGTAGGTGTAAATTGTACTCAAAGTTCCTGTTCAACCTTTACAATAATAATGTTCATTCAGGCCTATTCAGTATAATTCAGTTACTGTATTGTAGGATCGTTTATTGATAATTTTTGCTATTTTGGTGCAGAACTCTGGATCTAGGTGAACTATGATAATCCAGGATAGGTCTTTCTGAAATTCCAGCTATTCAGAAATGAAATAAGTATTGGTTACCTTGGCTACCTTGAGGTGCTTCCGGGGCTTAGTGTCCCCGCGGCCCGGTCGTCGACCAGGCCTCCTGGTCGATGGTATTGATATTGGTACCCAATATCAATACCTATAATCATTATACAGTATAGTGATTGAAAAGGGATGAGGTTCTTACATTAGATGGACATTATCTTTGACTGGGCAAATTTTGTATGGATAGAAAATAATTTGTATCACAGTATAAAAAAAATTAAAATAAGTGATTTTCCCAAGAAAATTTTTAGATTTTGTTAATTCAGTTTATAATTTTATCATTTTAACCATTTGTTATAAAGTCATTAATTTTATGCCTATATTTTATGGTATATATTTTGCAAAGCAGAAATGTTTTATCCATAATGTAATTATTACTGTACAGTAATATGTTAGAATAATATTGTTAATGTATGAATTGAGTAGCAAAACAATAGCAGTTTTATCAGTAGCTTTCGCATGAATGTGTGCATTTTTAGCAAGACCTTGTAGAGTATTGGTCAGTACTAAGGGTACTGTAAAAGTACTGATCAAAGGGAGCCGGCGGCCGAGCGGACAGAACACTGGACGCGTGATCCTGTGGTCCCGGGTTCGATCCCAGGCGCCGGCGAGAAACAATGGGCAGAGTTTCTTTCACCCTGATGCCCCTGTTACCTAGCAGTAAATAGGTACCTGGGTGTTAGTCAGCTGTCACGGGCTGCTTCCTGGGGGTGGGGGCCTGGTCTAGGACCGGGCCGCGGGGACACTAAAGCCCCGAAATCATCTCAAGATAACTCAAGATATACTATGCGGAATTCAGTTTTAAGTTCATTGTCTATGATATTGACAATGAAGATTTTGTGAGGAATAGTTATAGATATCAAAGAATGTGGTGCGTAGTTTTATGTAATTCTCTTGGCAGCTGAATGGATTAAAAATGGGGCATTGTAAATATTTCATATACCATACAGTATAAAATTATGCAGATTGTGTTAAAACTTATATGTAAGAGTCTGAAACCACTTAATTAACCTTGTTAATAGATTATGATCAGTTGTTAAAAATATCTACTGTGATAAATTTTAGTTTGTATGCCCTATTTTTACAAACCAGCGCCATTCATTCTACTCTTGGCCCATATGACCAACTCCCTGCCCAATTTTTCCCAAGCCGGCCCATATAAATCCCTTTTTGGCGAGTTTTGTCCCTCTTTGAGTCATTTGATTCTCTCTAACCCAGTCTTATCTGTGATCCATTGAATTCATTCTTGGCATAATTTTACCTTGGCTCAATCCATTGGATGTCCTCTTAGTCCAGTTTTATCTGAACCTAACCTATTTAATTTCCTTTTGAGCCAATATTAACTCAGTTATGCCCATTGATCTTCCTTACGGCCTAAGTTGACTTCAGCCTGACCCACTTGTCTTGCTCTTAGCAAGTCTTTATCTCAGTTTTTCCTTCTTTTAACTCTCCCAAATTCCATATTACTTAACCCACATATCTTCGTGAAATTCGGTTTATTTTGAGTTCAGCATCATTTGATATTCCTAAAGTCCAATTTACACCTCGAAGATCTTTATATTTTTCTTCCTGCTAGTTTACACATCCTGTTTTGAAGTTATTCTTCCCCAAGATTTTGCGCTAATTTTTGCATTAATTTTGCGCTAGCTAATGCTCAGTTTGTTTCATCCCAAGTTTTCCTGAAACAGTGCAGTTCACCTCAAGAAAATTCTGTTTACTTAAAACTAGCCCATTTTACTTCAGAGCCACATAGTCAGACTGACTTTCTTCAAGTCAGCAGCCCAGTTTTCTTCCAGACAGCTCAGTTTCTCTCAAAACAGCACAGTTTTACTCTGAAGGGTAACCTTTGGATTTTGGAAAGTTATACTTAATATCCTATACTGTACTATATTTCTCCTCGTGCTTCTTAAATTTCAAATCTTCTGTCAAATTATGCTTCTTACCAGTTGATTCGTAACAAGTTCAAATCAATTGTTTATACCCGTTATCATACCATATAGGTTATACTGTACTGTACAGTTTATCTTGCCAATTCGGGATCTCTTGCAAGTATTATTTATAATTTTCTTTTATTATTTCCAGCCTTCTTTTCCATATCCTGTGAGATTTTCATTTATTTTGTTCCCTTTATTATTATTTATCTTCTACTCGACTCTTGTTTTTCACATTTTCTTCACATCTGCCCTGTTCTTTCTTGCTCAGATTTTCTCCACATTATCTCAAATAAATTTTGTTATTTTCCTTTTGTGTTTTAAACTGTCATCATCATCTTGTATCACTTGTTTTTGCTGACCACTCCTTGTCTTGCAACTTTCTCCCAGGTATATGCCTCCAATATACCATATGTATATGGTATACAGTACTATGTCCTTCACTGTCTAGTTATGTCTCCCCCTTTGTATTTACCCTTCTGTGCTTCCCCCTTTTTTCTGTCCTAATTTTTCAATGTTTTTTGGTTATTTCTCCTAATTATCTTTTTTTTTTTTTCAATTTTGTAATTTTCCTAACAAGTGTACCTTTCTTTGGTTTTCTTTTGCCCCCATTTTTCTTTATGCCCACTACCTACCTTATGTCTACCTTATGTCTACCTTCTCTCTACCTTCTCTCTACCTTCTCTCTACCTTCTCTCTACCTTCTCTCTACCTTGTGTCTATCTTGTGTCTATCTTGTGTAGCTTCTGGGTTTCATTGGCCCTGCGGCTTGGTCTCCGACTAGTCCTCCTGGTTGGTCGTCTGGTTAACCAGGCTGCTTGCAGCCTGACATGAATCACAGCCTGGTTTAAGGGTTTCTTTGAATGTGTTTGTCAAGTTCTCTCTTGAACACTGTGAGAGGCCGGCCAGTTATGCTCCTTATGTGTAGCGGGAGATTGTTGAAAAGTGAACCACTGCCTAGATTTATTTTAAGTTTTCCATTTTCAAAGTTTTCCCATCGCCATTAATTTTCTCTCTCATCCTTGGTGTTCCCAATTTTCATTTCATATTCTCTCAATCTGTATCTCTGTTCTTCCCTTTTGCCTGATATTCTCATTTTTAAACATACCTTCTTTTTATTCACCTGGTTTGTTGGTGAGGTAAATGGCCACCCCACCAGTAGCAAGTACCACTGTACTACACAGTGTTCATTTAAAGGGAGGAAAAAGACTATGACTATCTGCTATTCTATCCATTTTAGACTTCCCTGGGCACGAGAAGTTACGATAGATATTTATTCCTATGGCATAAACCATACTTGTACATTATATTGCAAACCACAATAGCGTATGGATTGTAGTACTATATGCCATTTGTATGATATGTGTTGCGGGCATGGATACTGCTGGCCACATCTGGTGCCCGGGAAGGACTAGGAGAGTGTTGCAGATATCCACCATGTCTCTCTCCTGCCTTTAAATGGTACAGCACTTTCTTGCTTCTGGCAGGGTGCGCATTTACCTCCCCGACGATCCAGGTAGATTGAAATGCTGTTCCCACACCAATGAGTTTGTAATTAAAACTTTGGTTTGCTCATGTCCTTCAGTTGCTATGGCAGACCTTCTCTTTCTCCCATTCGTCTATATTGTCTTTCCCTGTTGTTAACCACCCAATTTGCTTTTCCCCGTCCTCTATAATTTTTGCATATACCCTCTTATGTTCCCATCCCATTTAGAGCTTGGCTTGCCACTAACATTAGCCCTTTTTTTTTTCCTTTTCTACCTGCCTGTGTTTGATCCTTCAGCATTTTGGAAAAAAAAGTCAGGTGAGTTCCCTTGTTGAAATTTGTGCCATGTAATGCTTGTGTAGCTTGAGATACGACATACTTACTAGTCCTTGTATTCCTGCTCCGTTATGTGAAATATGTAGTATATTTATTTGTTTTTATAATTGACAAAAACTACAAATTTACCAGGTATATATCTCAATATACTGTACTTTATATTTATATACAGCAGTTGGTAGACAATTTTTCAATATGCTAATCTCTGCAATAAAGTTAAATGGAAATACTGTACGTTACTGTACATTAATTATTTTAGAGGTTTTAACTTTGAAAAATTAAAGTTGTATTCAACATAAATAATCTTACTAATTATTATTATTATTATTGTTATTACTATATTTTTCCTATGTTTAGGGAAGCTCAGGGTCTTCTGTCAGATGAAGAGGCACAGGAGGTAGTCCTCCTCTTGTCACCACAAGAGCACGACGCCTCCAAATGTGTACCTCCTGTGCCTCCACACCATCCAGAAGTAGTTCCTGGTGCCCCTCCACACTTCTCGGATGCCCCGCCTGCAGTACCCCCGCACTACGCAGAAGGTGCCCCTCCTGTTCCTCCACACTTCACCCCGGGTGAAGATGAGTATGACACCCGTGTTGCGTCGCATTTTGATCCAACTCTGACGTCTCCCCTTAGCCCTGAAGACGAACCCTCAGAGGCAGACTCGTCGGAAATATCTGGAGATGTTTATCAAGTGTCACGAGTTAAAGAGGTGAGCGAGTCTTGGTGCGTTCACCACATTACTAGAACTTTAATATTGAACTTATTGTAGAATTGTTGTGTAGTATTGTGGGAGGCAAGAACACTTGCCTTTGCCTCCCTCTACCTTTTTTTACTATTCCTCTTATCTTCTTTCTTTTTCACTGCTTACTTCTGCTTTCTTCTTCTCCTCCTCCTCCTCCTATCTCCTCTTCCTCTTCTCTTGTCCTTGTTGCCTTCATTTTTTCTTGGGTGCATTTTTGGATACCACTTTTAGCTCCAACTAGGTAAGGGGGTAACAAAAAGGGTTTGTTTCTGGTCATAATTGAGGATGCTGTGCCCGTGGGGAATTGCGATTGGTCATTTGTGTATAGGCCTTGCCTACATAGTGCACAAGTACTGCTGACTGATCAACCCGTCCTCTTACAAATTATATCGCTTTTCGCTCATATGCACACTCAGGCTAAAAATGGATGTAATTTGAAATTAAATCAAATCACGAGAGTGATGTACTGTCCCGTTTTCTGTTTTGAGTCCTCTGGCTTATTCAGTTAGGTTAGGAGAGGAAACTTTCAATTAACGGTTTTCATGACGTTTTGAAACCTTAGGAGAACTTATTGCCCTCCTAACCTACCAGTGGTTAGGAGGACCAGAGGAGGACCCTTAACTTGCTGTTTTGGAAAAAAAAATCCAAAAATTATTTTAAATTGCTGGCATTTTTAATTTTCATATGACGTTAATTTTTGGTTGTAATGCATACAAGCGAAAAGCGACGTACAGTAATTTGTAAGAAGATGGGTTGGACTGATATCCCTTACTCCTGAATATGACAACTGCAGTGCTTCCCGTGCATACCATGCTTGCTAGTAGTGACCAGATGCTTGCCTGCACTGGGGAAACTGAGAGGCAAATTGAAAGCTGAGAAAGCACCAGTATAAAAAGCTATGATTTGTTCAGATCCAAGACCTATGTTTATGAGCAGCACAAAATGTCCACCAGACAGTGCTACATGGTAGTTCCCAGGATCAGGTTGGGTTACCGTTACTTGTGGCTGCAGGTGACGGACCTCTTAATCTTGAGCACTCCAGGTGCAAACTCTGTGAGCAGGAACTAAGGTCATGATCTCTCACACTGCATGACAGAATGTGCAGTAATAAAGTGTGTGAGACACCCTTCAGACCCCCTGCCATGAGGTACCTGTAGCTTTGCAATCACTATTAATTCTCATGTTCTTGAGAATATCCTCATAATGCACCCAAAATTTGCCAGTGCAGACTACTGATCATATGGCCCTGTATGACAAATGATCTTGCAAGATGGGGACATTTTATCATCATTGCTATCTTATTCACTCTTGTGGTCTTGATATCCTCATAGTACATCCTAAGTTTGCCAGTGCAGACTATTGAATGCATGGCCCTGTATGACTAACCATCCTGTGTGATGGGGATTTTTGGCATCATGTAGCTGGTTCTTGACATACACTGTACTTCCCTTATTATAGTCTGGGGCAGCTGTACAAATTTAGATTTACCTAAATGTGTTAAAAAAGAAAAAAAAAAAAAAAAGGGGGGGGGGGGAAGGCTGGTACACTTGCCCATGGAAGTAACCAAGTGGCTTGCCCAGAAAGGGCAAGCCACTTCATCTACACCCAAAGCCTGGTTTTCTCCATGTACATTTGCTATGGCCTGTGCTGTAATTTATTTACTTCTAGAGCTGCAGCTTTGTAGGGTAAATATTAGGAAAATGCTCTCTTATTTTTAAGTCCGATCTGAAGGCAGACATCATCATCATACATATGTTTTTAGAGCATGTGTTTGGAGTTCAAGTTAACTGAATTGTTTTGTGAACATAGTAGTATAGCAACGGAATTTAAGATTACAATATGATATTGATCATCTTCTAACATTGCCCTCTTATTTTAGGTTCTGGTGGAGGATGGAGTTCACTATCTGGAAGATGGTCACTTTTGGGTGGAAGTTCCTGGCTTACCAGACGATGATGAAGATGAGGATAATGATCCATCTATACCGTTCCATCCTCACACCAAGCTCACCTTCTCTAAGGATCCGGTCCAGGTTTGTTAATGCTGTATACATATATTTTCCAATGCTGGCATCTGAGAATGAGGTGTAAGAATAGAGTGAGGGGTAACACAGTCGAGTGGATTCTGAAAGTGCACTATTAAGGGCATGTGTGATTTAGACACAATATTAACTGAATTTGCTGAGGTTATCTTGAGATGATTTCGGTGCTTTTTTTAGTGTCCCCGCGGCCCGGTCCTCGACCAGGCCTTCACCCCCAGGAAGCAGCCCGTGACAGCTGACTAACACCCAGGTACCTATTTTACTGCTAGGTAACAGGGGCATAGGGTGAAAGAAACTCTGCCCATTGTTTCTCGCCAGCGCCTGGGATCGAACCCAGGACCACAGGATTACAAGTCCAGCGTGCTGTCCGCTCGGCCGACCGGCTCCCTAGTGGCTCCTGAGTGGAAAGATTTTCCACTACCAGTCCATGAAGTATGTCCATATTCATATCCATATCTCTATGGTTTTTTGTTTAGTATCCATGTATTCAGCTGCTGTTGGGGTCTTATTTGATGCTTTGAGTACTCGGCGTATTTATATATATATATACTCTATTTTTCTTTTCTTTTTTGCAGGTGTTCAGCACATACTCGGTAACAGAATATGACCGCAAGAATGACGATGTTGACCCGGTGGCGGCGAGTGCAGAATACGAGCTGGAGAAGCGTGTTGAAAAGATGGATCTTTTTCCTGTTGAGATTGTCAAAGGTTATTACATCCGACGCTACCATATTTTCACATAAATTTCTTGCACTTTCTTAGAGTACATTAATCAGTGTGTAGAATAAGATTGAGTTTTTAATAATCTGCTCAAAATTTTTATAGCTCAACAAAATTGAATACTAATAGTAGTAATAATAATAATAATAATAATTAATAATTCTTTATACATAAATGATTGCACATTTTTAATTGTTTAAATATTAGTGATTACAGAGTGACTAGCTAGTCTACAAGTGACATCTACGTCATAAATTTTACAGGGAAATTTTGTCAGTGAATACGGTCATAATATATGATAATGTAACACTAAATGCCAGGTGAAGTTAATGGGTATATTAACAAATTAGAGAAGAGCATATTATTATGTTGCATCACTTTAAACATGCACTTGAAGACCTACATTTGTCTCTGTAGTATCAATGTCACACAAGAGTTAACCATCGTTCAGAGTGATCACCTCTTTGATGAGATCAACATTACAGTGTTCCTTGAGGAGCTTTGTTTCTTCTTTAGTCAAGTCAATTACTTGTTAAGAAGGGTGCTGAAAATCAGGCTTTGAATGAGTTTTAAAATGCTTTTTCTGTGCAAGATATTTGGATACCAGTACTTCCTGAGGTAGGGAAGGGAACTATCAGGGAAAAATCACCATGCCATTACGACTATATTTAACTTGGAAGGGATCAGGATAAGGACTTGGGATGGGTCGGGAGGAAGGAATGGTGCCCAAGCACCTGGATGGTCGGGGATTGAACGCCGACCTGCATGAAGCGAGCCTGTCGCTCTACCGTCCAGCGCAAGTCCTTATCCTGATCCCTTATTCTTATCCTCACTAAAGTTCCCATTGGATAGATCATGGTATAGGGCAGGGGCACATTCTGTACCGATCCACTATTGATCTTTTCAGATGCCCCTGTAGGGGTGATATTGGTACTGAAGAAAGTCTTTATCCAGCCCAGAGTGGCTACAAAAAATTCTGTCATAAACACTGAAAGATTTTCCAAGGCCTACTTGACATAACAAGAGAATGCTAAGTGGCATACTACTGAACTTCTACTTGCCCACCTTGTCACTAACCTTGATTACCACCAGATGGCAGTGCCATACCAACACCAAGTCCCCAGGCTTGAGTCTTATTACGTCTGACTACCACAAAGAAAATTCTTAATGTAGGTAATTCAGAGGCTCAAAGGAAATAACACGAGCATCCAAGAGTTTTGCTCAATTTTTTTTTCGTATTCACTTAAAACCGGATTTGTGAGCTGTTCTCTTAGTCAAGATTATTGCAGAAGTGGCCACTGAAACTACTGGAGCATACCTGGAGAGGGTCTCGGGAGTTCTTCTACTTCCCGAGCCTGGCCTCAGGCCAGGCTCGACTTGTGATAACTAGGTCCAACAGGTTGTTGGACCAAGTTATCATTCATGTGGGCCTACTAGGAACATGAATGGGGAAAAAATTTCACCTGTGTTGCAAAGTGAAGCTCCTACTTCTTGCCACAGTGCAAGAAGTAGACAGAACCCCCCCCCCCCCCCCCCCAAGAGCTGCCACACAGTGTCCCGTATCATGACAGAAGACATGTTATTTACTCTAGGAGAGCCATCCTAGTGCAACACACTTGTGACACATCTGTGGAATCCTGGCGAGATATCAGGAGGGAACGGGATGAATGGTCCTGCAGAATGCTTCGATTAGACAGTCTCGATAAAAACAATGAGGTTAGCTGAATCTGGCCTCGAGGCTTGCCTGATCATCGCCGGAGTGAATCGGTAAGAATGTTACTGGCGAGGATGTTACCATCTGGTGGTAAGTAATCACGGATAGTGATCAGGTGGGTAAATATCAATCTGGTTACAGCACTACGTGGCAGCCTCAGCAATGCTAAATACGATTTGGAATGTCTTTCGGTACTTATGATTGAACTATGTAGTTACTCTGGGCTGGACTGAGCTTTTATCTAACACCTCCAAGTACTAGAATGACGGTGACATTCAAGAAGATCACTGTTGTGCCAGTGGAGAATATGACCCTACTGTGACTATCGTGATCCTGCCCAGTGGGACATAGCGATCATGCCTTGAGGAGCATTCAAGTAGAATAGCTTAGAAAATGAAAAACGTATACTGTACTGATTTGGTGAATTGTTGTTAAATGTAAAACTATTTTCATATAAGAATGAGGAGTGGCTAAAATGTGGGTTCTAGGGAATTTAAGAGTAGGATGAGGGTAGGAAGGCCAGGAAGAAGATTGATAGACATGGGAAGAAGAAGCATTGGTGAATGTGAATATTGGTTAGGAACAAGGCTTAACAGACAAAGTTTTACCTAATTTTTTTTGGTATGTGACAACATATGAGGAGCATTTCACACGTATCTATCAAATCGTAAAGATAAAGCTGATGGTGATTTTTCTTTAGTGTGTTGGTGTTGACAGTCTGTAATGGTGTCGAGTTTGGAAGGTATCAGTATAGTGAAGGAATGTATGTTATTGTTAATACGTATCTTTAACTATCCTATATTGTCATTCTTTTGGAAACTGCTTTTCCATTTCATGAAAATTGGCTAAAGTTTCATCTGTGGGTCTTGAGCCCAAATTTCATCATTGAACCATGACAGTGGGATATGAGGGGTAATGATGCTGATGATGATAATTCTTGAAATTAGGGCTTCATGGGAATGAATTAGATGAATTAGGGTTTCCTAGTGATTGGCAGAAAAATCTTAGTATGGTCCTGACTGGTTGAATGACTTGTCTGCTGCAGAAAAGCAATAGTCTGCTGAGGATTGTTTCTCAGGAGGATGTAGTCATCGAGCTAGGCCTAACCTCCCCATAGGTACAAGGAGAAACATGCACTCTATGCCTCGAGCACTTCCTCACATTTCTACGTGATTTAGGTCCCTGTTGCTTGGATCACATTAGCTTCTCAAGGTTATCTTGAGATGATTTCGGGGCTTTAGTGTCCCCGCGGCCCGGTCCTCGACCAGGCCTCCACCCCCAGGAAGCAGCTCGTGACAGCTGACTAACACCCAGGTACCTATTTTACTGCTAGGTAACAGGGGCATAGGGTGAAAGAAACTCTGCCCATTGTTTCTCGCCAGCGCCCAGGATCGAACCCGGGACCACAGGATCACAAGTCCAGTGTGCTGTCCGCTCGGCCGACCGGCTCCCTTGCAGTCGTACGAATCAAGACAATTCTTGTTGAAGGACTTTCTCATAATCACGTTAGCCTTCAGTTCTTTATTTAAAATTGTATTTTGAGAATTTATCCATAGGGCCCAACTAGAAAACATATTAGTAAATTAAATTACATTTGAATCGTAGATAATGTACTGAAAAGTAAAGAATTTTTGGAACGTTTTAGTTTGATTTGCGTAATGTAATCATATAATAATTATTAAAGTAACTATATAGGATTAGTTTGTTTCCAATTGCCAATATATACTGAGTTTCAGTATTGTAATTTCAGTGTACTGTGCAATTGTTTTTAAATATATATATGTAAATGTATTTCATTAATAATGAGCAAAATAACATTTTATATTGTTATTTTTATATATAAAATATAACAATTGCTTATTCATAAAACATCATGATGTATCTTTCATAAAAAAAAGACTATAACAACAATGTTACAAACATGTTCTTTGTAATTAATAAAATAGCATTTCAAATTAAAAACAAGAGTTGATTACTAAAGTATTTCACAATTGACTTGAAAATCTTCAATAACAAAAATTGGAAATCTTCAATAAAAACCTAATAATTTATTCATAATGTAGGAAAGAGCAGTTTGGGTAGGCTGACTATATATCAACCAATCATTTTTTGCAAATGTAAGTTAAACTATTAATATTTTATCCATATATAGTATATATGTACAAAATATAATGAATTTTAATATTCCTTCATTGGGGAAATTTTCCCCATCGTAATCTTTTGACAAACGCTGCTTTACGCTTGAAAAGTAATCAGATTGCACTAGTTTACAGATTCTTGAATTTTTATCCGAGTTATGTGTTTCTTCTCGTAATCTTGGGAAAGACTCATAGTAGGTCTGCTGATTACTTTCACAGACACAAGAATTCTATTGACGGCTCACTATTACTATTTGAAAGGAAATATACTCCATATTCTTTTCATAGTCACTTGCTAGGTTTGATATGAACTTAAAGGGGGGAAATACCAGTTAAAAAACATGTTGAAGCCTGGGAATGTTCTTTTCACCTCAATTTTATTATAGATTTAAACTAAAATTGTCTGCTGACGTTAATTTATCCTCAGGTTTTGGTTTGTAAAACATTCTGATAGATGAATGAATAGAGAGCACTAAAAGAACCAAGTTAAATACTTCATATAATTCTTATTGGACTGGAGTCACAAGAACTTCACAATGTACAAATATTACTGTAACTGGGAACTTGTGCATACATTGCGAAATTTGTTCATCATTAGGCCTACGGTAATTATTAAGCACATTTGGTACTTGACATGCTAAACTTGGCAATAACTGGCTCTGTCAATATCTTTGACCCTGGTCTGCACGAACAAAATTTTGCTTAATTTTTTCTATAGCAATGTTTTTCCATTCTTATCCAAGTGACTGCTGAATACACCTTGATGGCGAGTGAGGCATGTGTGGCTAAAAAAAAATTCTCCAATCACTTGTTCCAATATTAATTAGTTCTCCAGGTTTCTGAAGATTTTGCGCAAAACATATTTAAGAAAGATCATCATCGTCATTACTCTTTATTTTACTCTCATGGAGCTACCTACCTACCTACCTTGTGGAGGGTTCCAGGAATCAATGTTCCCATGGCCTGGTCTCCGACCAGGCCTCCCGGTGGGTAGTCTGGTCAACCAGGCTGTTGGTCGCGGTTGCTAGCACGCTGATGTATGAATGACATCCTGGTTGATAGGGTGTCCTTAGGTGTTTATCAAGTTCTCATGGTGAGGGATGGCATTGGCCCAGAGAACAAATGGAAGCATAGGGAGGTATAGGGTTAAAAAGTTGCAGGTATATAAAAAGAGGAATCGTTGATTCACCATGTCATCCATACTTCAGTATATAGAATCAGAGACACAAGCACTAACACACTTCGGCAACTTATCTACAGGAGTACCCTACCTCTACCTCATTGGATTGTGTGTTCATTGCTCTTCTAAATCACTCAATGGTTCTTCACATATTCATTTCCTTTGTCTATCAATCTTCATACCAGCCTTTGTCCTTTAATTGTCTATTCAACATCACCAGGATATATACTTTTCTTGTGTGATTCATTGTCTTTTACATTCCTCTTCTTTCATGATATATTCATTCCTGACTCAATTGCCACACAAACTTCTCAGATTGTCAATGTCTTCTGCTCTTATTTTTTTATTTGTGATGTTCATAACACATCATCATGTCACGTCTATGCATGCCAGGATGAACCATGCCTTCGTGCATCCCTCTGGCTGAATCACTCTATCGGTATTCAAATTGTTCAACCACTTCTGGCACTTCTTCTTTCATAATAATTTTATACAAGTATCGCTCTCACCACCACCACCACAACCACCATCATAACTGTACATTTTTCCACATTCACATTTAATAATGCACTGGAAGTTCCGAGGCTTCTCAACACATAGCAGGCTTTATGTACAGTATTATGTACAGAAAAATATGTTATGAAAGGTTATTGTTCCATCAGTCATTGCCTCTGATGGAGATCAAATAATTTATTGGATAAAATATAAAAATCCCATTTTTTCTTTTGGTGTAAATGTAACTATAATGCATAACTCATTAAATAATATTTTTTTGGGGGGAAAATAGTAATTAAAATATATATCTATTTACCAACCTAAATGACAGTGCACAACCTTCCCTACACATATTTTAATATTAAACAAGTCACTCGTTACACCATTAACTGCAATAATTACAGAGTTCTGTATGTTTTTTCAAGGAAGTTTATTCTGTAATGGTTTACGCCATAGCGGGCTGCATATAATAGTTGTGTTATGAAATGTTCCCTCTGTTGTAAATCGATGGTTCTGAAGCTTAAATAAAGTGCTAAAATATCATATTTTCTTCGTGCTGAGATAAAGATAATTGAAAACTTGTAAAAGCAAAAAGAAATTGTAAGCTGTTGTAAAATGGTTTTTAATATTGGATAACAAATTAGGTTTACAATATCAACAGTTCCTCTGTAATAATGAATATAAATACTGTACTGAAGTGCCAGAGTACACCCTCAAACACACTCTTGGGCATATATGAGCAGTTGCAGCAAAATTGCCTTCTAGGTGCAACTGTGACTGCGACACCAACACTGTGGCAAAGAAAATTTACTTTTTTTATTTATCTCAATCTAATCATTTCTAAAACACACACACACAAAATTTATAAGCAAAATTCCCCCTCTACGTTTAGATGATGTGATAATTATTGTTGCTGGCGAAGGGTTAACTTATACACATGTACAACTTCCCACATTAAAACTTCAAGTAACATTACATAGAACTTCACTAACTCCATACATACTACTCACTCTTCACTCTTTTAACTCAAATGTTCATAAAATCAATGTGTTCACCTTACAATCTTCCTCATATGCCATCTCCATACACACACACTATGCGTAAATAAAGTACTGTACTGTACACAATTATGAATTTTCAAATTAAATGAGTGTGTTTGGCATGCAGTATCTGGTGACATAAATCTGCCATAAACCACTGTATTACAGTACTATATTTATGCAATCTTAAAAAGTAATTTGCCACCCGCTGCTGGCGATGAGTCACAATAACGTGGCTGAAGTATGTTGACCAGACCACACACTAGAAGGTGAAGGGACGACGACGTTTCGGTCCGTCCTGGACCGAAATCGACTGGACCACAATCGACCAGTAATCGTTAAAATATTTTAAATAGTTTTGTGTTTTTTTAAATTATTTGTTCCGTTACAACTATAAATTTAATGCCAGAATGTTTGGAAACTAATTCACCAGAAAATAGATGCAAAAAGAAAAAGAGTATTTATAATAAATTATGCACAACAACAATGAATATAAGAAAGCTTATGAGTAACAATCGAATGACGCAATATAGTGACCCAGAGCTGTTTACTGTTGGAGTATGGACGATGCGCTGTAGCGTCATCAGAACCCGAAAGTGTAAATAGGTCCAGTAGATAGATCCATGTTCTCATAATAATAATAATAATAATAATAATAATAATAATAATACACAAAATCTGTGTTGTAAAAAATCTGAAATTCCATCCACAAAAGGGCTTAGGAAAATGATCATGATTATAATTGCCACACAGCCTGTCATATGTATAATGAATAGTTTCAATTTGATATTGCACCAGAAGTCATGCTATCATGTTCTTAAGTCATGCTATCCTAGCACTTGGATCTAGCCAGCTAGTGGGCATATCAATATTGGCAACGTAGAAATTGTTGCCAACAACTTTGCAATACAGTAATTGTTATAATCATTTAGCATTAGCCTGTGCTCCTGCAGGAAAATATCTCAATTAGCAAATACTGTAGCTCCAAAAAGTTATACATATAGAGAAGTGAGGGAGAAGAATACAGTGAGGGAGGAGAGTAAAGTGATGGTAGAATAGTAGGAGGGAGGGTAGAAGAGTAGAATGAGTTGAAAGGAGAAGAGCCGAGTTAGGGGAGGAGAGTAGGGTTGGGGGGGTAGGGGGAAGGAAATTAAGGAGAAAAGATAGAGTACAGAATATGTAACATATCCCTAAATCATCTTTCTTGACATTACTGTATCTTTATTTTGCAAATCATAGTCAGGTTCTTTTCACAATAAAGTTGAAAAGATTGTGCAGCTTGAGCCCTATATTTGTATACATGAACAGTGCCATTGCAAGATAGTTTTGCAGTGTATCCTATAAGGAATCATCTTTAGTTGACAATTATAATGAAATATATTGATAGAAGAATAAGCTCTCAGTCCATTCATCTCTGTAGTGTATGTTTTATACGACATCGTGATTGCTCCTCTAGCTTTATTTTTTTCGTGCCATTCCTGACAGGTGAAGGCGGTCTTGGTCTCAGCATTATTGGCATGGGTGTTGGAGCAGATGCTGGTGTGGAGAAGCTGGGTATATTTGTTAAGACCATCACTGCAGGGGGTGCTACAGAGAGAGATGGAAGAATACAAGTCAATGATCAGGCGAGTACAATATGTTGCGTTTGGAAATTTTATTTTGTACTCGTTTCATTTTAACCTTGGTAATGAGTACGTTTTGTTGGTTGTAACTGTTGCAGCAATTCTTGTGCTATGACTAATTAAGTCTTTAATAGGTAAATAGTTTTGACAATATAACTGGTTGATTAAGCTTGCAGCATCCTCAGAGGCTGAGATAGTCATGAGTATAGAAGGCTGTAACTATGAGAGATTTCTACTGAGTGCATTTAAGACTGAAATGATATTGATAAGTAAATTCTCATGAAGTATTTTAATGAAATGATGATATTCATTATATATGTAAGTTCCTGACAGAGAGTGTCACATCCATCAGTCTCTTGAGACTAATGGATGCCTACTACTACTATGTAAGCTCAGACTACTGCACATATATATATATTAAACACAAATAAAAACTTAAGGGAAAATAGAAACATTGACTAGAGCAACCCACCACCCATACCAACAACTTACAACAACAACAACAACAACAACAACAACAACAACAACAACAACAACCACAACAACCACAACAACCACCACCACCACCACCGACCACCTCCGACCTCCGACTCAAGTCACACCCATAGTCACTCCTTCCCACCCTGTACACCTCAAATCCAAGAAAAACCATATAAACAATGTAAGTGTGTTTTTCATGAATGCAGATGAGGTCATGAACAAATTAACTGAATATCAGGAACAAGTGTTAAGAGCTGTCGTCACATTGCGTAATGATTGTCGAGATCAGATTATCAGTCATGATAAGTAGTAATGCAATTTTCCTCGGAAGGTGTCAGTTCATGAAAAAGGCGATACAAATTGGGGAAGGAATGGAGGCAGTGGTGTGCTCCAGTGGTGGCCTTAAGAAGACAACAATTTTAAAAAATAAATCAATGAATCAAAGGACTTAATAATTATAGGAGAGAATCTTGTTGACAAACAACAGCTGGTCATATTAGTCATAGACAACCCACCAACAAACAACAGAAGACCAAGACAATAGTAGAACGATGATATCCACATAAGTATGAAAGTTGTGAAAAAGGGCAGCTCAAGTAGCAAATTACACAAGCAAAATTACTAATAATTTGACAACTTTAATCACAAAGAGATTGATTAGATGAGGAGAGAGCGACATATTTTCCAGGCAGCATGTGAATAAATCAATAATGTAGAGAAGAAGTAATGAACCAGCATTGTTAGACCTAGTGTTGACAGAGAGTAAGACAGTCATTGCGGAAACAAAATACAGAGAACGTCCTTCAAAATACATCCTTCTGTACAGGAGGATGGAACAAAGAAGTCTTAAAAAGGAAACTTAAAATATTACAAGAGGAATAAAACAGGGCCAAGAAATATAGAATGCACATTAAGTGGAGTGAATAAACTAGAAGATAAACATGGAAAGACTTGATGAGAAGGATTCCACTGGAATCAGTGCTAGGTCCCCCCCATCTGTCCCAGATATACATAAATGACATACCTGAGAAAGTGAATTTATTCACATTATCACTTATCACTATTTGCATATGATGCTAAGCTGATCAGAATACAGCAAGTGAATAATTTAAAATTCTTCAGCATAATCTAAATAAGTTGCATGAGTTTAGGAACAAGTGGCAGCATGAGTTCAACCCCAGCAATGCACAGTTATGAGAAGGGGGAAGGGAAATAGAAGATGAGATGTACTACATAAACTGAAGAGGTGACAACTCAAGTAAACATATCAAGTCTCATGGCAAATGCACAAACAATCAAAATAAAGTCAGCAAAATAAAGTCAAACAACAAATTTAGCAGATAATAAAAACAAACAAATAATAAAAACAAACAAATAATAATGTTTACTTATGGAAAAGTACATACATACAAAATGGGTTACAAGAAGGATATTGGATTTCTAGATAAAGCAAGTATATACTATGCAGGCGATGAGTCACAATAACGTGGCTAAAGTATGTTGACGAGACCACACACTAGAAGGTGAAGGGATGACGACGTTTCGGTCCGTCCTGGACCATTCTCAAGTCAATTGTATGACTTGACTTGACACACAATCGACTTGAGTATGGTCCAGGACAGACCGAAACGTCGTCGTCCCTTCATCTTCTAGTGTGTGGTCTGGTCAAGTATATACTATGCCTAAAGCCACTAATATGCACAGTGTTTTTGGGCAAAACTTTTGCAAGCTAAACAGAGAATCCTTGAGAACACTGGAGACAGCCACTGCTAGACTAGTCCTGGAGTATGGAGCACCAGCATGGATTTCACATGAAGTGCAGCACAGAACTAAAATTTTAAATGTCTAAAATTTGAAACCTCACCAACAATACGAGACTTGAGCAAAGAGGATGGGTGTAAAGAGTTGAACCTACCATCATTGGAGAAAAGAAAATCCAATTCAGAGATGGTCACAACGTACAATACATGTATTGAAAGACGAAATGGCCAATGACAGACTTCCCGCTGACACGTAGGACTAAGGATACTGGTGTAAACTGGAAACACAGATGACCTGTTGGAATGTAAAAAAGTATTCTTTTCATGTACAAGTATGAAAGTCACATCCATAGTCACTTTTTATGGGTGAAAGTGGCTTTCATCAATAGAAAGTGGGTAAAAACTCACTTTCCTAGAAAGTAGAAAGTTCAGTATGAGTACAGAACACATGGAATGAATTCAAGGAAAAGGATGTTGAGGCTAATTCAATCCACAACTTTGAAAGTAGATACTGTACCTGAAAGTAAAAAGATGGGGGCCCAAGAGCAAATCTATCCTACCAGCAAGCATACTTAGTTAATAAAAAGTAGATAAAGAAAATTTATAATTTTGTTACTGGTATAAGTGCAGTATTTCTTAAGTACACCATTACATAATTATTAACCTTTTTTTTTTTTACAACCACTTGTAGATCATTGAAGTTGATGGCAAGAGTCTAGTTGGAGTAACTCAGGTATTCGCAGCATCGGTTCTCAAGAACACCAGCGGACGAGTCCACTTTCTGATTGGACGTGAGAAAGATCCGGAAAACAGCGAAGTGGCCCTCCTCATTAAACAGTCACTTCAGGTACTGTACTTTCTGCTTGTTGTTGTTGTGAATTACATAATCATGGTTACAGAATGCATGCTGTGCTTATGGGGGGGGGGACTCCCCACCATCTTTCTTCCCTCCTCCATCATCTCATTTGTATATTTTATTATACTGTACTTAATTTTGAATTTACCAGTTGTTGAGACATTTAGTATTGAATCATGCAGCACATTTAATTTCCCTGCAACTAAAGTATTTAAAAACCTCTTTTGTGTGTTTCTGGTTTTGTAGTTTATATCTGAGTACTGGTTATATTCATCACCAGTTGCAAGATATTTTGTCTGACACCGATAGTATTTTATAAGCTGTTACCATGTTGTCTTTGCCCTTGACAGTATTTATAAGCTGCTGTCATGTTTCTCTGCCCCCTGACAGTATTTGCATGTACAGTACAGTAGTTTTATGCCAAACCTATTACTTCATTTATAGATGGCCAGTGGCCAAGATTTTAATCCAAGCTCTTTGGATATCTTCTCAATATCAATAAGAGGTAGGCCTGGCATTTACTACAGTCTTTTCTGGCTCTCAGATAACTTATTTTCCTTTCATTATGAGAATTATTCCTAATAGGATTGCTTCATATTGGTCTGCAGTTAGCTGCTCCAAGAAAATGTTAGCATTGACCTGTCTAGTCCCTATTTCCTGTATCTTAGCAAGACATTCTAGACCTTTGTACATCATAGGCCTATGTACATCAAAGTAGTCTTTTGTGTGAGTTTCTGTTAGGGCTGCAAACACTGCATTTGCCTAATGTAGGAGGCCACATATAAAATGAACGTTGTTAGATTTGCGTGTTTTTTTACGATGGATATTGGCAAAAAATAATGATGCTATCATGTTTATGGAAGTGTTGGATGCTTTACTTGATGTTAACATCCGAAGCTTTGGTAGGGAGGCCACTGTGTTTGTGTCCTCACAAGCATTTCACTGAGTTATCTTGAGGATATCTTAAGATGATTTCGGGGCTTAGCGTCCCCGCGGCCCGGTCCTCGACCAGGCCTCCTTTTTGTTACACACCCCCCGGGAAGCAGCCCGTAGCAGCTGTCTAACTCCCAGGTACCTATTTGCTGCTAGGTAACAGGGGAATCAGGGTGAAAGAAACATTTTGCCCATTTGTCTTCACCTCCACTGGGGATCGAACCCGGAACCTCGGGACTACGAATCCGAAGCGCTGGCCACCCATCTGTCAGGCGCCAGGAGTTGGTGGTTGAGTCTGGACATTTTTAGCCATTCTTCTCCTATTTGTGCTGATACCTCACTTTGGCTTTACTTTATTTTGGCAGCCTCCAGTTATATACTGTTGGCAGGTGTATATACCAAAGATATAAAGGTTTTATATACCTTTACCCGTCTATGCTCCCGTGTTGTACCTAAGTTGGTATCTTCCATGTGTTGTGCAGGTTTATTAAGCTAAGCCAGCCCCCGTGGACATCATAGGGAACATGATTTACAAGTTTGCTATATTTAGAACATATTTTTCAACCATGCCCTGTTGAGGTTTAGAAGCTGGGGCTTCTGTCAGACTAACCACATACAGTATTTGTAGACTGTTACCCATATTTGCCATTAAAACTTTAAATCATCTTTATGAGAATACTATACAGTAATTAATACAGCTATTCAGCTACAGTAGTTGCTTCGGAAACTTCTCTTGCCATCCTGCTGTATGTGTGTGAAGGAAGCATGTCCTGTATTATAATATTGAATGGATGATTGATTAATATTTTTCTAAGAAACATGACTATTGAATTTCAGGGTTTAAATAATAATTTTGCTGACTTTCTTGGCAGGCCGATCGTGAACGAGAAGAGCGCCGTCGAGCACTGGGTGGACCGGATTATGACCCTCACACAGGTCACAGTCTCTTCGACCCCTTATCATCACCCTCAGAAGAGAATTCCCGCTCAGAAGAGGCCTCTGTACAACATAATTACGCCTCGTACCTGGAGGGTGCAACATCCCCCACCTCACCAGATGCAACGTCTCCACACCCGGAGGTATTTGATTTGGAAGGCGACACATCGGACACTTCACCTGAGAATGATGTTTCCATGCTCAAGATGAAGTTGAAAGAGGTATGTTAGTCGACAGTCATTCATCCCACTCCAAAACAAATTATTCATCGTATTGAGTTGAATCTCAAAGTAAACAGTTGAATTTTGTTTAGTATTTACTGGTTGTTGCTGTTAAAGTACTTAATTGTTTGTGTACAGAAAAGGTATATCAGATTAATTTTTCCACGTAAATTGTTGTGTATTAAGCATAGCTTAGCCTCTTATTATTATTATAATTATTATTATAATTATTATTATCATTATTATTAATTTTTAAGTAGAGCTTGGGCATAGTATATTAGGCATACTAATACTAATTAACCAAATCTGAATATTTAATTAATCCACACGCTAGTGCTAAAAGAAGCTGCTAGAACCTGACTGTATTTTTTTCTCAGGCTCAGTATAGACATGCAGTCGCCGAGGCTGAGGTTACGAAGCTGAAGATGACAGTAAGTTGCTGCGTTCACGGTAGAGATGTGTTTGAGATACTTGTGTCTGTCAGTTTATATGTGCACTCAATGACCACACAGTTATCTTGAGATCTTGAGGTTATCTTGAGATGATTAAGTTGTCACATGTCTTGGATGTCACAGTAAAACATAATACTGTACGTCTTTTGTATGGTGATGTTTAGCCATACTGTTGTGTCACTTTCTTTTGACAATTGCTATATTTTCTTTGTGATTCAAGTAATTACACTGACATTATTTCATTAATTAAATTTTCATTTAATTGTTTTAAAATATTTTATAGCTTAATTTATTTTTCATATTATTGCAGTTTTAAAAACTTTTCTATAGAGCTCAGCACCTTCAAAAGTGTTCCTAGTTAGACTTATAAATAAAAAGTGATTTCATGTGTTTAATACTGTAGTTACAAGAAATTAAAAGTTGCCAACAGGATACACATCGTCTTCTGACATTTCCTAATCTTCAGATCGTATAACTGCGTTTAAGCTTCATTTTCTGTTTACATTTTGTTTACAGTTGCTGGAAATGGAGAAGGTTGTAACGGAAAATACGCAGTATACTAGTCAGCTCCTCGATGCCCAAAATAAGATGGCAGAAATGGATTGTCAACTGCAGTCCAAGGTCTCCGAGGTGTCCACATACCAGGACATGTTGGAGCAGTCTCAGGGACAGTTTATTGTCTTAGAAAAAAAATATTATAAGGCCAAAAAAATTATTAAAGGTAAGGGATGTCACGTCATATTTATTGTTTGATACAAAACATTGCAAAATACATGGCTTATGCTGCGAAGTGTTCAGGTCACTAGTAATTATACTCTACAAGTAATTCTACATTAACACTTTAACAGTTGCGAACGTGCCGAAAAGTTAATGTTCCGGGCATCTCAGGGTCCCACTCAGTAATGCCTAAAATGTTTATAATTTTTTTTTTTTTTTTTGGGGGGGGGGGGGAAGTAGTTTTAAGTAATTTCAAGATTGGTGACACATTTTACCATCGTCTGAAGATTTATTGTAGGAGCAGGGATAACACATTTTAGCGTCATCGGAACATTTATAGTCGAAGCAGGGAAAACACGTTTTAGTGTCATCAGAACTTTTATTGTCGGAGCAGGGATAACACATTTTAGCATCGTCTGAACATTTATTGTCAGAACAAGGATAACACATTTTAGTGTCATCGGAAGGCTAAAGTATTAAGTAAGAGCTCTGTTGAGAAATAAGGAAGATTTCATATTTTACATTTTGTAAGGTTTATGTTCAGAATATTTACCTAATTATATATATTTAAGTTTATTGTTCCTGCAAAATTGTATTTTTGAAATTAGAGCAAGTGATGCACCACCTCCCTCATCCACCAGACTATTGACATGTCTAGGCTTGTGCCTTGGATGTTAGTGCTCCATTTATAGATCAATTTTGGATAATTAATGAACACTAATTCAGTGCTTTTTTTCAGTTTATATCTACATTAACACTTCCCTTTCTCTAAATTCTGTTTTCTTTTTTTGTTTCTTTTTGGTTTTCTTGTCTCTTTCAATCTACTTTCCCAGTACACTGTATTTGCTGAGGTTCTTTTTCCCTCTGTATTTATACAGAGTTTTTAGAAAGTGCAAAGAGTACAGTTTCAAACTGTACAGAGTACAGTTTTTACACTGTATTTGCTGTTTGTTCATTTCATGCACCATTGCTTCTAAAGCAATAACCAGACCAGAATGGAAATGGGAAATTGAGTACAGTATTGATTTAATTCCTTTTCTCACGGGCTGGAAGCTTGTGTATATGTATATTTTAGGCTTGTATTGAGGCTCCCCCCCCCCCTCCATGTTTGCAGTGTCTTTGAATTAAGGAAGTGTTAATTTATCTCACGAACTGTTACTTCACAAAAATGCATTCAGTGTTGCAGGCGATGAGTCACAATAACGTGGCTAAAGTATGTTGACCAGACCACACACTAGAAGGTGAAGGGACGACGACGTTTCGGTCCGTCCTGGACCATTCTCAAGTCGATTGTCATTCAGTGTTGCATTGCTTGTAATGGAGTAAACATTTGTCATATTAACATTTATGTTTTCTCTCTCTATAGAGTATCAGGGTCGGGAGAGAGATTTCCTTCATCGTGAAGAGTATCACATAACTCAACTTGAGGAGAAGGACTCGCACTATAATGCTCTTGTAAAGGCACTTAAGGATAGGGTGAGTTCTTTTATATATTACGTGAAATTTTCAACAATTACAAATGAATAGAATTAACACCATAAATATTTTAGAATGAAGGGCAGTTTCAAATTATGCAATCTTTTGATTATCACTTTGGTGGAAAATACAAGTGCATGCAACTATCAATACAGTTACCTTTTGTATTTGAGATGTGAGTACTATTATGTAAAGCTAGTGCGCAACAAATTATTTTAAGTCAATTGTTAAATTAGATTCATAGCTGACCTGGTCTTCAGATAAAGTACCCTGGAAACACAAACCGAAACTGTCTCTATTTTCCGCTTGTTACAACTTGTAATAAAGTTGTTACATCTTGGCTTAACGTGTTTATGACGTATTAGAACGTTGTTACAACTTGCTATATTGGTTGTTATAACTGGTTAGGAGGTGTTAAAACTTGTTCGAACGTTGTACCAACGTCGTAGTTTCGGTGTGTGTTTGGCGGGTATTATCTCAGACTTCTCATTAACACAATACTGCACATAATGTAAACAAAAAAATCTTGAAGATGGCAGCTATTGTATAGCTAAGTCTTGAACATCATTTCATGCTTGTTTTTACCAGGTAATACATTTGGAAGGGGAGTTGACAAGCGTTCAGAAGAAAGCAGGTATGCCCGTGCAGGTTGGCGGCGATGTTAACGCCCAGCCAGGGCTGTGGAACCTCCAACAGAGCAACCAGTCTGCCCTCTCCAAGGTACACACATGAGAAAATTCACGTATTTAGAATGAGGGTGTGAAATGCACTGTAAATATATGTTCCAGCCTCGTAAACGATTAATTTTTTTTTGTAGGAAAACTGTGGTTATATAAACACAGGTTTATTGAGATAAAACCCAACATATGAGAAAGATTTATTTAACTGATTCAACAGTTTTTGACTTGACATTATGTACTGCAATAATTACTTCTTTTGGAGCTATATATTTTACATATGAACTGTACAAAACTTGGCAAATTGTATCCATAATATGAGTACAAATGCAGGCATATTTTCTTTAAAGAAAAATAACTGAATACATTAATGCAGTGATTCTGATTCTTCATCTACTTTGCCTCTATAATGATATAAATTTATATATAGAAGTGAGATTGTTGCAACCACAGCTTATTTATTCTATTTGTCATTTTCAAAGATATCATACCTGGTAATTCAGGATACGAGGATTTTTTTTTTTTTTTTTTTTTTTTTTTTTTTTTTTTTTTTTTTTTTTTTTTTTTTTTGCAAATACTGTTGCTAATTGTGTGTGTATGTAACCACACCAATGATAAATTTTAACTAATGCCTTATTAAAGATTTAAATTGATGAAAAGGATGTGGATAGTGACAAGCGAGTCCTGTGCATGATATGATCAGCTTTTGCACTGTCGTGTGTCAGATGTTTCGTCCTTTAAACAATGCGTTATAATGTTTGTACAGCGCTCCTTATGCCCTTGCTCTGATTGTTGACATTTGTGGCTCATCAAAATTGTGTGTTCTTGTAAAGTAACTTTCGTCACAAATTAATTAGTTGTCAATATATCACCTTCGAGTGCTGTTCGTTGCTAAATTGTCTTGTGCCTCGATTTATTTTTGTAATTTTGTTGCATCAAAACTGATACTGTACATATTTAATTTTTACTTTCTCTTCATTATAAATATGCTAGAAACTGGAATACGATGATAAATTAATGTACTAATTAAACCCAGGATAAATGGTACCCATAAACAGGTAAACATTTAGAAGAGCCAAACTTCAACTCGTAACATTGCAACATGTAATGTATCAGCTAACCGGTTGATTTCTGGTTGAAATTCGTCTGACAAGAACGACATTAGGTAATTGTCAGCAATGACGCGGCGTCAGCGTGTCTCAATAACACATCAGCTCTCGTTCACTAGAAAGGCATTTTATGACCGAAAGAAATAACAAGTTGCAGTACATAGCGTTCACTTGTAATCCTACATGTTCTCAAGTTTTCCAGGCATTGTTTAGCATTGAAACTAGCTTTGTGAAGAACTCGGGTTGAGAGACGTAACAAATATTTGAGTGCACATCCCTCTTAGTATATACAGATTGGGAGAGAGGTGGAGGGGAGGGGGGGGGAATATGTATAGTTTAGGAAGATTTATATACTGTATATGTAAAAGTAAACTTCAAGGCTTAATTTGGATCCCAACAAGTTGATCATATGTGCCAGGTGTCATAGAGCTCCATTTTCGCCTTGATTTATGCAACAGGTGTGGGGTATATGCCAACATCTCTTCAGCTTGGTCCCACTACAAGTACTGTACCTTGTTTTGTTTATGTCTTACCTGTTGTATATAACACCTGTTATTAAATCAGCATACTGTTATGTGTGCTATATATATATATATATATGGGAATAATTTTTCTTTAGACATTAAAGAACAAAACTGCAACCTTAATAATTTTGAGGTTTAATTAAATATCATAAGATTAAACTTCGTCATAAGACAATGTTATAAGATATTTAATATGCCTAATGGCAGAAGTTTTTAGTTTTGCTTTCATAGCTGTCAGTGTCTTTCCACATGTAAATAATATCTTAAGAAAGTTGTAACCTAGGTTACAACTTGGGCAGTGTGACCAAGCTGAAAAACTGAGCAGGCAACTTGTGCATGTAATTGTGTCTTGTCCGCACAGGAGGGGCCTCTCTCCTTGTGAAGTGTGCATGAAATGCATAGATTTGTGTGTAGATTGTTTGTGATTGATGTATTTCTTTCTCTTCACACAGAGTGATTTGGCACTCTTGTGCATTTAGCTTCAAAGATCTAAGCAAATGCCACAGCCTATCAACCCAATCTCTTTCTGCTAGACTTTAGTAATTTCCCACAAAGCATTCACTCTCAAATATCTGTCAGCCTGCATTTTGACCTATTCTTTGTTTTTTGGCTAAACTGTATGTTTTAGAAGTACATAGAATGTTTTATTGCTAAGTGAGAGATGTATGTAATATGCAGTTGCACATCAGTTGCCGTATATTTCATTAGCATGAAGGTACAGTACCTCTAACCTGAACACGGTCATCGTCCATCAATACCTTGGTTGTCTGTGACTCGGCAGATGATGTTCTTCATCAACATGAAATCATTTTATAATATTCAGGATTTTCTTTCAAACTTCCAAATCTATGAAAAAAAATGAACCTTATATTAGTTTTGCCTCTTTATATACTAGTATATATGTATATATTGTATATTTGTGTTTGTTCGTGTATGTATGCTGTGTTTATACAGTATATATATATATGTGTGTGTGTGTGTGTGCTTACCTATCAATGACTATGGGGAAGTGAGATCTAGCTCTTTATGCCCTATCTCCTGTGTGTGTGTATATATGTTTAATTATCTTAGTGTAGTCACACACACAGGCCAAAACATCAGTAATTTCAAAGCGTATGACAGAGTACTGGGAAGACGGGACACCACGAGCATAGCTCTCATCCTGTAACTACACTTAGAGGTAATTACAAATAAGAAGGCTGTGTGTAATTATCTAAGTGTAGTTATAGGATGAGAGTTACGCTCGTGGTGTCCCATCATCCCAGCACTATTTGTCATAGAACGCTTTGAAATTACTGATGTTTCGGCCTCCACCACCTTCTCACCTATGTGTGTGTGTGTGTGTGTGTGTGTGTGTGTGTGTGTGTGTGTGTGTGTGTGTGTGTGTGTGTGTGTGTGTGTGTGTGTGTGTGTGTGTGTGTGTGTGTATGTAGTTGTACTCACCTAGTTGTGCTTGCAGGGGTTGAGTTTTGGCTCTCAGGTCCCGCCTCTCATCCGTCAGTCAACTGGTGTACAGGTTCCTGAGCCTATTGGGCTCTTTTATCATATCTATACTGTACTTGAAACTTTGTATATGGAGTCAGCCTCCACCACATCACTTCCTAATGCATTCCATTTATTAAGTACTCTTGACATTAAAAAAATTCTTTCTAGTGTCTTTATGGCTTATTTGGGCACTCAGTTTCCACCTGTGTCCCCTAGTGTGTGTGTGCCCTTTGTGTTAAATAAACTGTCTTTGTCTACCCTATCAATTCCCTTGAGAATCTTGTATGTGATGATCATTTCCCCCCTTAACTCTCCTGTCTTCCAGCGCCATGAAGTTAAATTCCCGTGGTCTCCTCTCATAGTTCATGCCCCTTAGTTCGGGCACTATGGAGGCAAACCTCTGAACCTTCTCCAGTTTAGTTTTATGCTTGACAGGATATGGATTCCATGCTGGAGCTGCATACTCCAGGATTGGTCAGACATATGTGGTATATAAGGTTTTGAATGATTCCTTACCCAAGTTTCTACAGGCCGTTCTTATGTTGGCCAACTTGGCATATGCCGCTGATGTTATCCTCTTGATGTGGGCTTCGAGGGGACAGGTCTGATATGATATCAAACCCCACATCTTTCTCTCTGAGTCTAGAAGAATTTCATCTCCCAAATGATACCTTGTATCTGGCCTCCTACTCCATACACCTATATTCATTACATTACATTTGCTCGTGTTAAATTCTTAACCCGAGAAATTTGTTGGACCATTCTTTCAGTTTGTCCAGGCCTTCTTGAAGTCTCATGCTGTCCTCTGTATTAATCTTTCTCATAATTTTGGAATCATCAGCAAACATGGAGAGGAATGAGTCTATACCCTCTGGAAGAATATTTTGTGTGTGTACTCACCTATATGTACTCACCTATATGTGCTTGCAGGATCGAGCATTGACTCTTGGATCCCGCCTTTCTAGCTATCGGTTGTTTACAGCAATGACTCCTGTCCCATTTCCCTATCATACCTAGTTTTAAAAGTATGAATAGTATTTGCTTCCACAACCTGTTCCCCAAGTGCATTCCATTTTTCTACTACTCTCACGCTAAAAGAAAACTTCCTAACATCTCTGTGACTCATCTGAGTTTCCAGTTTCCACCCATGTCCCCTCGTTCTGTTATTATTACGTGTGAACATTTCATCTATTTCCACTTTGTCAATTCCCCTGAGTATTTTATATGTCCCTATCATATCTCCTCTCTCCCTTCTTTTCTATAGTGTCGTAAGGTTCAGTTACTTCAGCCGCTCTTCATATCCCATCCCTCGTAGCTCTGGGACAAGCCTCGTCGCAAACCTCTGAACCTTCTCCAGTTTCTTTATGTGTTTCTTCAGGTGGGGGCTCCATGATGGCGCGGCATACTCTAAGACGGGTCTCACGTAGGCAGTGTAAAGCGCCCTAAAAGCTTCCTCATTTAGGTTTCTGAATGAAGTTCTAATTTTCGCCAGTGTAGAGTACGCTGCTGTCGTTATCCTATTTATATGTGCCTCAGGAGTTAGATTAGGTGTCACATCCACTCCCAGGTCTCTTTCTCGAATCGTTACAGGTAGGCTGTTCCCCTTCATTGTGTACTGTCCCTTTGGTCTCCTGTCACCTGATCCCATTTCCATAACTTTACATTTACTGGTGTTAAACTCCAGTAGCCATTTCCCTGACCATCTCTGCAGCCTGTTTAAGTCCTCTTGGAGGATCCTACAATCCTCGTCTGTCACAACTCTTCTCATTAATTTTGCGTCATCTGCAAACATTGTGTGTGTGTGTGTGTGTGTGTGTGTGTGTGTTCATATATACATACATACTGTTTAGAGAGATGTATAGTTAATACAAATCTTTGCTTCAGATTACTGTACCTTTACTCTGAAAGTCATATTAAATTAATGATTTTTCATTTAAATATATTTTATAAAATGACTCGGACTGCCAAGGTGTAGGTGCATTTACGAGACTCGGCGTTGACCAGTAAAAGCAAACAGTCTGACATCACTACCTTGGGAAGGCTTGTTAATAAGAGATTATATGGTATATGTCTGTTTCCCCTTATCCCCAAATTTTGATCTAAGGTTAATGATTTGTGCATCAGTTTGTCTCCTAAATTAAACATAGCAGTTCTGTAGATAGAAAACATTTTTAACCAAATTTTTGGATTGTGACATGCTATGATTGTTTCAGTAACATTCCTAATATCCTAGTTTATTTCTTAGAGTATTTTCTGTGTAAACAAAATAAAAATGCTCTTTGATGTGAGAAACAATATTAGTGTTCTCATGGTGTTAAATTTTATTTAATCATATTGAGTTTCTGAATTTTACTCTTGTATTAATGTAGTAACATAAAAAATTCTTGCTAGATTTTGTGACAGTAAGGACTATAGGACTTGTACCTTCACTAAATCCCTGGATACAATACTGCTTAAACTGCTAAAATATTTACAGCTTAGTAGTATGTTCTCGTGTTAAATGTACTGACTCTCTCGTTTAGTTTTGTATAATATGTTGTCAGTAATTGTCAGTAATTATCATAGTAATTTAAATCTTGCTCTAATCTGTCAGGTTAAAATTAACCTTAGCAGGCATTCGACATTGGAGTGATGTTGAACCCACTTGAGTAATGTTGATCCAACACTGGATCATTGGCAGCAATGTTGGTCCGGCATCATTCCAACGCCATGTGTGTGTGTGTGCTGGGTTAAGTATTGTAGTTTTCGTGAAGTTGCCACAGTTCCCGGGTAGTGAATGTTATGTTTTGTGCTTAAATCTCAAAGGACCACTTGTTCAGGATAGAAATACACAAATGAGGTGTGCCCCCTTGGACAGCGAGAAATAAATCAGTATCCCATAACTTACAATCTGTGATATAGTTAGACTGCATAGTAGACAATCTTACTGAATAATACCCAGTATACTATATTGCTCAGCTTCTTAACTGTGAGACCTGCTGAAATAAATGTTGTTCATTATTTGGAATTTAAGTTTTTTGACCAAAACATCAATAGCTAGCTTCTTGTGTGTATTTAAGATGTACATCCAGTTGAAGATATTTCTAATTCTTTTAGTAACACTTCATATAGTGTGAACCTGTATGCTTATGGAGTGTAACCTTGCTTGAACAGACTAATTGGGATTGGATCTGTTCGGTTACACCAGAGATACCATATCACCAAGTATTTCACTGTTTTTCTATGTCTATTAAAAAAAACAAAAAAAAAATTGACCGCAAGTGATAGAACACTAGCTTGCTTAGTTAATACTATACAGGAAGTAAAAATTGCCAGCTTGGTTAATGCCTATATGATGTGAAGTAGAAATTGTTAGGGTAGTATATGTGAATATGCAAGCTTAGTTATTAATATATGATCAAAGTAGAAAATACCAGGAAACTATGTATAAATATTCCATATACACATTAAGATAAATACTGTATTAGCATTCCTTTAGCATAGATATAAACAAAGTAATTAGAATTTGCTACTCTTAAAACCCAAGAGCATTTTGTAAATGTATACTGTCCAAGGATGCATATTAGCTTTCCTATACCAAGCCCTCTGCTATACTTGATGCTCACACTCTGCGCACTGCTCAAATGCTCGCATACCCCCTTCATGCCTGTTTAGCAGCCTCCCTGCAAGCCCAGCCTGTGCACGCTCGACCCTGAGATATCGGATACGGAAACGTCCGACACCGGCACCTTGGAGGGCGACAAAGCCAACACTGTAGAGCGAAAGGTAGGTCACAAGTGGGATGTTTAGAATGGAAGAGATGTTAGTATGGAAAATACTATCAAGTAGTAATTTCCATACTAACGTCTCTGGTTGCGCCCTGGTTAGGCCACTCCAGACCGACAACCAGAGCGCAACTCCATAGTCTCCTGAGACTGATGGATGCCTACTACTACTACTACTAGTAATGTTATGTTTAGTTCTTATGCTGCGGGTCTAGTTCATGCCTTGAATGTATTCACTGTAATGTTTATTTTTATTGTACAGAATTTTTTTATCAATATTTTTCTAGACTAATTGTTTATTTTATTAATATTTAGAGGTAAATGTTATTTTTTATATAATGTAGTAAGGCTGGCTTATAACAGTTTGAACACAGAACCCATTATTTAGTGTTCTATATGTACTACAAATCAAATTATATATATACTGTATTTGTTTACAAATATGCAGTGTTGAAATTTGTTTAGATGTGTAATATTAAAACTATATATGATCATAGATGTGAAAATCTTAACCTTTATAACAGTTTAACATTTGTAGCACATTATTTACATTGTTTTAGTACTCAGTAAGTACAAATTAAATTGAGTTGACTAAAAATGTATTAACTGTTCACAAGTAATGCACGGGTTTTATGGTAATTTATCACTCTTATTTTAACTTAAAGAAATGTTTGGATTGCATTGGAATTGAAATAATAATGTTTATATTTTAGACATGAAAGCAAATTATTGTTGTTAGTGACTAACAAAGATACTGTAGCATCTTAAAATTGTCTTCAGGATCTTAAAAATACTCCAAGCAGATACAGTGGAACCTCGACTTACGAATGCCCCTACTTACGAATTTTTCGAGCTACGACCCCAATTTCATCGAAAAATTTGACTCGACTTACGACCTTTGCCTCGTCTTGTGACTTTGTTGATACGCATATAGGTCGACGAGGCGCATGGTTCCTGATGGTACGAGCGACCCCGCTTCAGTTTACCAGAGTCGCCCACGTAGTGACGATCGCATTTGAATTCTCTGTAAAGAATTTCATTGTTTTTGTGTTTTTTTGTTTTTTTGAACATAAAAGTAATTATATATCATACCATGGATCCTAAGTAAGTCAGTGGTAAGGTTCAACTTAAGAAAATAGTTGTGAGTAGAGGCAGTCCCTTCCTCATTAAGAAAATGTATGAAGTATGGGAAGAACTGCAAAGTTTTGTTAAAAAAACTCATCCAGATAAAGCTGTAGCAGGCCGTTGCATTGACCTTTTAAATGACAATGTGATGTCTCACTACAGACAAGTGTTAAAATGTAGGGAAAAACAAGAGTCTTTAGATAGATTCTTAGTAAGACAAGCAAGTAGTGAGCCTCAACCAGGTCCTAGTGGTGTGCAGGAAAAACGTAGGAGAGAGAGAGTACCCCCAGAGAAGTCATCACTGCCTGATATTTTAATGGAAGGGACTTCCCCTTCCAAACACTGATACCTCTCCTCCTCCCCCCTCCTCACCATCTTCTATATGCCAACAAGTCATCAATAAAGGTAAGCTATAACTTGTACATGCTATAGTACAAAATAAGTGTGTGTGTTATGTATGAAATGTATGTTGATGCTAATATTTTTGAGAGTGTGGAATGGATTAATTCAATTTACATTATTTCTTATGGGAAAATTTGTTTCAAGTTACAAATTTTATGCCCGTCTCTGGGAACGGATTAAATTCGTAAATGGAGAGGCCACTGTATATCTTAATATATTGAAACCACATTATCACTACAAACAAAAGTACTCTATTGAAAGGTAGACTAGAATTCATTTCCTTTACTCTGAGAGAGCTTTTTTGGGGGAAGCCCCGGAAGTTGAGGGAGACTCCGAGGCTCCCGCCAGAAAGTGACGTTTCATTACATTCAACGCTGGTTTTTTCTTGCGTCATAATTTCAGTGCTAACCTATCAGTGTCTATGGTAAGTGAAGTGTAGCTTCAAGCTTTCTGTAACTAGTGCATTTTAATTTGAATTTATTGACATTCAAGTTTTGGCATGTTTTCTCTTGAGACTATTGATGGAGGTGGCTTCCTCGATTTCTTAACCGTGAAAAATGTTAACTAGTCATCAGACACAGACATCATACAGTTTAACAGTGTTATTATCATTGTTAAACATAGTCAGGCTGCACCAGCAGGCCAATTAGCACTGCTTTCAATTATTACATTTATTTTCTTGGTGAGTCATGCATACTGGTCTAATACATGTACACATCTAAAATATGTATAGTATCTTTGGATGTTTACAACGAGTAAAACATGTAGAGTATTGTCTGCTAACCGGCCAGCACTGTCAACGAAACAACTAGCCTGCCTCATTGATGTTTGTAATAATAATAATAATAATAACAATAATTTTTATTCAAAAGAATGCGTGTACAAAGAACGTAAAAGTAATATACAATTGTAGGGACAGGAGTTACGCATACTAATGTAACCACTATTATGCAAAGCTTTTCAGGGAAAATATGAGGGTTATTATTGTTTCCATTATAAGGTTGCTGAGAGTGCAAGTTCAATATTACAGTACTCTAGTATCATAATGCTCTCCCAGTACCACACTTAGTCTTTAACTTAAACTTCCCAACAAGAATTAGAACTTGGAAGTATTAACACACCAGTTTTTTACAGTTACCTGTAAAAGAAGAGCTGGACGAGGCAGTGCCGCCACACGAGCTGCTGGACGTGTCAGCAAGTCGTGCTAAGGGGGAGCTGGCATCCCGCGGTGGCCTGGCGAACCGTCACTTGCCCTCCCTTAAGAAGACGACCAGTATGAGCAGCGCCAGCAGTCAGGTTAGCTCAATATAATATCAATTATCAATACTGATATGAAACCCTGCAATACATAGGTTTCCACGGTTAAGGCAAATGTAAAACAAACGCAGCTGAAATGTTGACGGGAGTGATGCTCATTTGAGTTTAGGAACCAGAGAAGACAAAACACAAGCAGCAGCAGCAGCAGCAAGATGCCCAATATCTAGCTTGTGTTCATGTTGACCAACAAAATATAACTCAAATATAGACAAATATAGACACTGCACATTATAATGTACTGGGGGAGAACTACAAGCAGTTAATAATGAAGGCAAGGTTGGTTAAATGTTGTTGCACTCATGGAAGATTATAGGTCTTCACACTGGTATTAATACTATTAGGTAGGCTGCTGCAAGCAACAACCTGATGGAACAAGTGATGATCAAACAAGCCAGGCTCCAAGCTGGAGTTGGAGAGTTGAAAAACTCTTGAAAGCAGCTACAGGTTAACCAAGTGTGCAAGAACTAAGTGACATATTTTAAATTTGGTTTCTTAGATATGCTTGGATAAAATCAAATAAAAATTAACACATTTAAGCCTATAATTTTACACACTTCTGGAAAAAAAAAGTCTGAAATGATTTTGGTGTTAAAGTGAAATATATACAAAATTATTAGATATGTTATGCTTATACTATGTACTCACAGTATGCAGGTGGATAAAATTTATTATGTTTACTTTTATTAAACTGGGTCTCTTTATTAAATTCTTAAAGTGCGGCTATTGTCAAACATTGATTCCCAGAGTGATGCGGTTGTCATCATATGTTGAGCCCTGAGACAACGTGGATATCATCACATGTGGATTTTGTGATGATAAATGTCTACCATCACATGGTAGACTAGTAACTTGAGATACCAGTTTGCTTCCTATATTCATGCAGTTATACAATTTGTTATAATATTTCTCACAGGACCAAAGTTTAGATGATAGCAGCCTTGACGATGACCTCCCTGAAGCTGTTAAACATCCACCACCAGCAGAGGCTACACAAGATGGGCAACAGGATCAGGGGAGTCGGAGGTCAGCAGAACCCCAGGAGTCTTCCCTACCCCCTCATAGTCCCCCTCACACCACTAGTAGCACAACCCAAGCCAAATCCCCGCAGCCTCCTTCATACACCCAAGCAACCATGGGGAGTGTGAGCCATTTAGGTAGCCCCCCTCCTTATCACCATCCACCGGGCCAATTTGCCTCACCTCGACAACCCTTCACCTCTTCTCACATATTGTCCGACCCGTCCATCGGTCTACCTATGAGACCTCTGGGTGTCGGTAGTGACGCACAGACACATGAATCACGCTCGGAATCCCGTCCTGAGATCCCATATCGCCACCCCCCTCCTGTTGCCCGAGTACAACCAGTCAACCGTGCAGAAATTTCTGAATCGGCTAGTTTGGCTGCCCACTTGGCCAATCGCACACCTCAGCAGCAGAGTTTAGCTGAACAGCTCAAGGCTTTGTTAGCTGAGAGGTGAGAATGATGTTCTGTTTCAAAGTTAACTTAAGTGCATCTTCAAGTACACTATATTGGCACACTCACTCACTTGTACTCTACACAGAATTATGTTTCCTTTAACTACAGTATTTAGAATTAATACTTATTTCACACATATATAAAATTACTAAAATATAATTTATAAAATTATCCCGTTAACGTATCCTTGCAAGGAGATAAATTATCTATTAATTTCTCCCCTCAAAACATAATATATCCATAAAACTTACAAAGTAATGTGTTTTTGTTAATATAAGAATGCATTATCTTGTTTAAGTTTAAGACAGTCTAATGTTGCCAGTATAGCTTCTTTATTTTCTGCCTCAAACTTGACAAATGGCAAAATGCAAATTTCAAAGCAGTCATGACACATTAAGTAATGTGCCGTTAGTAACTTACCTCGTATCCAAACACCCTAGGACCGAGATGGCCCACATAGCCCCATACTGTTTATATAAATGGTCACCACTTCCAAAATATCCCTAGAAAGATTAGATTACTGGATGCTGTAATCATAATTAAATGTAAGGTGCTCAACAAGATGAAATGCATGCTCCACTTTTAGTCTCGATATGTTTTACAAGCGCTAAAGTAAATTTATTAATTTTTGTGGTGGAGTTTGGTAGATTTCAGGTTTTGAAGTGAAATTAGAGGTGAAGTGTAATAAATTGTAAACTTAACTGGACAATTTCTCGAGCAGACCAATACACAAACAACTCTTTCCTGATAAATCACAAATTGGTAATTAGTTAATTTGAGTAAATTGTGTCCAGATGCGAGGTAAATTACAGTAATAATTGTTTGTGCTCTTTATTTACAGTGTTTAAACACTTGACGATACTGCTGTTCTTGAATAATATATATATATATATATATAGTAGACTGTGATCATAGTGGGGAATTGCTTCTTCTATAATACTCTAATGAAATATGATTTATATTAAATGAGTGTCATAAATTGTGTTGATGGCACTACCACTATTAACTGATAGAGAGAGATTATCATTATCTGTTTCGATAGAGAGATTATCCTTATCTTTTTCGATGGCTGACAAGCAGAATAATGCATTGTATTGGATGGAAATGTTGCGTGTTGAGTCATGGCCCAGGAAATTCCCATTTGCAGGCGATGAGTCACAATAACGTGGCTAAAGTATGTTGAAAAGACCACACACTAGAAGGTGAAGGGACGACGACATTTCGGTCCGTCCTGGACCATTCTCAAGTCGATAAACTTGAATCGACTAGAGAATGGTCCAGGACGGACCGAAACGTCGTCGTCCCTTCACCTTCTAGTGTGGGGTCTGGTCAAAATTCCCATTTGTTGCAACATTTGGAGAATTTAGCCATCGCTTAAAACCACCCATATCTAAGATTCTTACCTTGTGCATTTGACCCAGATTACCAAATCTTTATGTGCTGTTTTAATTATGGGTGTGTGTGCTTGTAGGAGAGAGAAGATGTAAATGATAAGGCTTAAATATTTTGAATTTTTAAGCAGTTCTTCACCCAGTCATTGTCATCTGATGAAGTGTACTCGTTAACCACCCTCATAAGGAGTGATAAGAGGTACATTTGATGTAATATAGTCATGTGCAGTTTAGCATTTCAATAGATGCCCAGGTAACACAAGGTGTTGACTGTTTTAAGAGTTGTGGCTCAACCCTGGTGGAGTGGTGTTCCCTGTATTGCTCTATACAGTATAAGAGTATCATTATTCTGCTATATAATGCTTAAATACCCAGCCTCTCAGACGAGATTCATTTCATTGGGCATTTGGTTAAGCATAAGAGGTACAATACCATGTTTTGGAGTGTGCTGTAGTTACATTGCTTTGTCTTGCACCCAGTGTGGAGAAACCCAAGGTGGAGGTCTTTTCTGGCTTGTATTGGATTTGCTGAATACTCTTTTTCTATATGATTCATGTCTTTTTTGCTTATTTTACACAGCATTTAGTATTGTTCTCTCAAATATTTGAATGATTGTTTGCACAAAGCTTTGTAAGATTTGGCTGATTACAGTGTGTCTAGGGTTTCTTATAAGTACTGTATATGAGTCTATCAACTACATTTTATCTCTAATTAAATGTGAATATTGTAGGATAAAAAAATGAAGCATTAGATATAATGAAATGCCCTATTTTGGGACAGCTTCATTTGTTTCCCAGTGCATTGGCTTTGATACCACAGAACACTCACAAAGCTACTAGGCTTCTGGACTTGCACAGGCCTACTGAACACCAGGACCAGAATCTGGCTTGCTCATAGAGGTGAGCAGGGGGAGGGGGAAGGGATCTGAGATTGACTCAAAACTGAGTAAATCTGCCCAGAAAGTACAGGTAAAGCAAACAAACTTTGTATCTTGATTAAAGAGAAAAAGATAGAAACAGGGGAAGTGGTAGATTTGGTCTAATGTCAACAAGCTATTGCTCTAGTACCCAAGTGCACCACCAGATGGCAACTGAGGTCATCCTGTGGGTTCAGCCTCCTCGCCTCCTCACTCACATGCAGCCTCCAAGATGCACGTGATCTCCATGAGAAAGAACAACAAAGAAGGGTGGGTATGGGTAGATACTGCAACTGACCAAATAAAGGACATTTCATTGCACTGAATGCTTAAATTCTGGGCTGGACATTAATAGCTCCCTGGTGCATACTCCAAACTATTCTTAAGATAGAAAATGTTCTTTGTGCTAAAAGAAACATATTAGTAAAGGGTGCAAAGATAGGGCGGTTGGCCAGTTTGAGTAGAAGTCTGGAAACCAAGGGCTCAGGGAAGAAGGAACTCAGAGACTGAATAGGTACCTAAGAGCTACACGGGCCAGGAGGGACCAGAGAACATGTGGTTAGACCACTTGGAACCTCGAGCCCAAAGCTGGAGACACATTAGCACAGAAAGCAGTATTGCTCACATCATGTGTGTATGCAGATACACATCAGGGTTTCTGAACAACCCTTCCCCTTCCCTTTCCCTTCCCTCCCCTCCCCAATGGATAACCTTAGAATGCATGACCTTGCACCAAGATAAGAAGAAAACTGGATTAAAAAGAGAGCCATAACCCAGGAAGTGTAAGTAGCACACAAATGACACCATGCAGCAACACTATGACTGAGGGGCATGATGCCTGCCAGAGCAATCAAGTTTCCACCAACAGAGGACCCTGATGAAAAGCAAAGGAGACGTATTCTCCTTTGTAATACGTAAATACGTATTCTTGGCCAAAAAAGGACAAAGAAGGCTGGAGAGTAATTCCCAGAATGAGAGAAACAAACACCCTTCTTGTGACAAAAAGCATGAAGCTCACTAACACAACTGCAAGGAGGATGAACCAACAATAAAGCCACCTTAAAAAAAAGGATTCTTGAGCTTAGTTGAGGACAAAAAGGAAAGAACCAGATCCAAGGACCCAGAAGGCTGTAAAGGAACAGGAGCTGGCCAGAGGTAATAGAGGTAGTGGTACTGGGTCTTGTGTTTGAAGGTTTGGAAAGGGTAGTGCCTAAAAAGTTGTATACAAATTCTGTTTGTATCACTATGCTTTAGGTGTTGGAAGAAGTTCTTTGAATTTATATGAATATTTTTATTTATTTGTTTTTAATTTGATTTGACCTTGTAATATTGATTCATAATACTGGTATGCTGAAAAGTTTCAGTATTTTTTGAGCTATACCACTCAGGTGCTTCCTTAGGTTACGAACTTGTGGTTCCATGGACATTATCATGCACAATCAAGTTAGGCCGACACACACACCACCGCAAGAGGGAGCTTTTTGAGTTTTACTGCCAGATCTTACAGGCTCAAGAGAGAGACTGGAGAACACTCGGCCCAGCTCTGAATGACGTTAAAAAAGGCATATTCAAATAAGCTCAAAGTCCCTCCAAGCACAGCTTTGCTTCTGAAGGATCACCAATCACTAGTTGAAATGCCCTAATGCTACTGCTGACTATCACCAGGTTACAGCACATACACAAAAAGTCCTCATGTTCTTGCTAGCTAGTCCCACATGCACTCCAGGCAGAAACCAGTATAGTATTTCTCATTTCATTGAAATATTTTAACCTTAGAAACTTTTGTTCTATTGTGCAGTGGGCTCGTGCTGTTAGTAGATGCTTCTTGTGTATGTGTATACAATCGTTGCAGCTGTCAGGATTCTGGTAATGGCTGTGCAGATCAAATCATAAACAACAAGAGTGGTACTTGGTGGTTTGTGTGTAGCCAAGCAGCAACTAGAAGGGCTTTAAAATTATATCACTCATTTGAATGATTCCTGATCAACCCAGCTGTAATTCCTACGTCAGACTGTGAGCAGCGACATGTAACAGCCTGATTGACAAGATCAGTGACCAAGAGGCATGGGTCAGAGATGGGGCTATTAGGACATTGATCCTTGGAACCACCTTAAGGTAACTTCAAGGTAATGTAACTTTTCCTGAGGTTATTATGTGCTGTATTGAGTATTCTCCAGTGTCTACATTGCACCTGCATGGTCCAGCAGGAGTATTTGGAAAAATCCTGGTTGTGCCACTGCTTATGTTGACGTACTCAGGTTCATGATTCTGTCCATGGGAGCAGCAGGGTCATTGCATATGGGGGTAATCAAGTGTCTTGCTCAGATACCAACTTTTCACATACATTCAAAACAACATTTTTTCTATAAACACACATTAGAAAGTTTAAAAAAATTCTTGATTTAGATACTGCAGGAACTCCTTTGCATTAAAAAGTCACTGAATAGCTATTATGAATTTCTCACCAGTTCTTGCAAATTCTTATGCATTTCATTTTTTTTAAACTCGCAGAGAGTTAGACAGTGATGGAACACAGCACAGAAATGACAGAGAGGCGAGTCCAAGCAAACGATCGCCAACGAGTCTTATGGAAGATGTCAGACAAGCTGTTTTACAAGCAGACGTCTCACGTAAGTTCCATGAAAATAGGCTTGTATTTGTATGTTTTGCAGTCAACATTGCCAAATCATGATCAGACCTATGGGGTTTCTGATTCAATTATATTAGGTTATCTTTAGATTATTATGTACACTAATCAAGCTGAGCCTATATTCCATTATAAAAAAGAAAACATTTGAAGAGGTCATTTGAAAAAGGTCATTTGAAAAGGGAAATTTTGCATTGAGACATGTAAATGGAATAGCTTGTTTCCATTACGTGTGGTACCATTGTTCCTTCATTCACTCTGGACCATGTTTTAAAGTGTAAGGGAGCCCAGTTCCATGTTGATTTTATATGCTGTTGATTGACTCTGATCCATCACAAGATAAACCTGACCCCAGGCCAGACTTGGGGAGTAGAAGACTCTTGAAACCTACTTCAGGTACACTCTAGGTATCACAATGTATTCCTGTGAAAGTACAAGCTACTAAAATATTTCTAACATTTAAGACCTATGTGGCAGAGTGGAATATATTCATGAATACCAAGTATAAGAATTAAGTCACAACTTGACGATAGGATGATCATGATTTGATTCGTTACATTATCATTTCATATTGTAGAGTAATTCTTTGCATTATTTTGAGTAGAATATCAATTTACTGATCATGCTCTTTCATAGTTTGAATATATATTAAGCAACATGCATATGTAAAGTACAGTACATCTTGAGACATTTTGAAGGTTATTTGAATTTTATAAGACTTTTTATGCAAGGCAATTTCATAGTGACCAATGTTATATTTAAATATTCTGATGGGAACTGCTGTTATACACTTAACAGACTATTAAATTAAGCATTATATTAACTTGAGATTTGAGCATTTATAACACAAAACTGCTATTAAAACTGCTTCAGATATTTGAGGGCTTTCCAGTAATTCTTGGAGCAAAGACGTAAAACATGGCTGGTTTCATAATTTGTGATGTCAGCCACCATGGAATTCCCTTGCCTGGTTGATATTCATTGTGACAAGTCCTTGACTATATATACTAAACACTTGTATTCTTCTCCTTTTTAGCTTCAGTTTCCACACAACAATACTGGCAGCACCGTATGTTTTGCTTCTTGCATGTCTATTCTCGGCCTGTCGTTTTATTTATTTATTATACTGCCTACGTTGCCCAATTTTTATTTTATGCTTCAATTTTGTTTTAGAAATTTAGTTGTGAAAGCTCTTGATTTTTGTGGAGGTGCACCGAGAACGGCTTTTATCAACTGCTTTAAGAAGTTGTCTTAAAGCAGTTGTGTTATTAAGAAATTTTTGTTCTTTATGCATGAGTTTTGTTTATTTTGCTGGAGAGTAGATGATTGGACTCTTCGTTGTCACTCGTAGAGTAGTGTAGAAAAAAAATACTTAATGCAATACCTACATAATAGTAGCAATTCGTGTCTTTCATATTAATGCTGAATTTAATCATTAATGGCTATTTAAACAATTTAAATCATTAATGGCCATTTAATCAAGTTTGCAAAATCAAATAAAATTCAACCAGTTGTTTGCCACAAATCACGCACAGCGGTCGAGGTGCACACGGACACACGTCAATCAAGGGTTTTCTCTTCCAGTGGGCAAGAAGCCAGTAATCAGTGCACCTGTTCCTTTGTCGTCAACAGCACACGTGGTTGCCCAGGGTCAGATTGTGCACCCGGTCGGCTCTCCTCAGCGATCGCAGTCTGCATTTTATTCTCCTGTAAGTAGGGTGGTCACAGTCTGCTGTTATTACTCTCCTGTAAGTTTGGCAACCATAGTCTGCTGTATTGGTCTTCTGTAAAGAGGGAAGATATATTCTACTGTATATCTCAAATGTAGGTAAGGCAGTCATAAACTTCTATTAACACTACACCCACACATTAGAAATAGAAAAAGTGACAACGTTTCTAATGTGTGCAATTGTCCCAGCCATGTTATCGTGACTTTTACTCTTTATAATTTCCTATATTATTCCTGTAAGCAGGGTGGTCAAAGTTGACTATGCTGTAAGTTCTGGGGGTTCGTCTACTCCCCGAACCCGGCCTGAGGCCAGGCTTGAGCATGGCAGTCATTTTTTAATATATCACACTTTTGGAAGTAGCGTGGACAGTATATAATATAGTGCTTTCAGTAGGTCAACCAGCCTGCTTTTTAACTACTTTTCTTACCATGTGTAAGCTAGTTAGTTTGTGAGTAGAGAACCTGTATTGTATTTCTCTGTGAGCAGAGCAATCAGTGGTTCTGAATCTCCTCGGAGTAAAAGCATCCTGTAAATATATCAAATATGTCCACCTTCAGACCACTTGGTGACTGACCTTGCTTTTTACGCATCTTTGGTGAGCTACATCTATATTTTAAGTGGATGAAAAAGGCAAATTTTGTTTAGATCAGGACCATCATAGCACATGCACACACACAAATAAATATTGTTCATTTGAGTGTGTCTATTCTCCATAAAGAATAGCTAAGGGTTGTCACAGTAATGCACGATAATTCAAGTACAGAGTGCACACCTGTAAAATACAACCCCCGTTTCAATGAACAAAATGGGACTAACCCCAGGTCAATGCAGTGAAAGATTCGTTGCAACCAGAGATGCCACCAGGATGCATTTGCCATGTCTTATGGGCTAATTTCACTTAGCAAAAATTTCATTTCAATCTAATATAATAGACAATTATCAAATGAACATGTCTGGAAATTTGTTTTAACTACATCTAGGTTATTTCTCATGTCCCCAGCCTCAAAACTCATTTTTCAAAAGGTAGCAGGGACATACCTGAATGAATGAAAAACCCTGCCAACTCAAAATGAATACAAACCATAGAATTTGGCTTTAAACATACTCAATAGCTTTCTCAAGGCTCCAACTATTTCTTGTAATAAATGAGTCCATCTTCAAAAATCATCAAAAACATGATTGCAGCCATATTAAGTGTGTTACCATTCATACCCTAATATTTCCCACACACACAATGGGCTGATTTCACAGTGAAATTGTAATTTCAACCTGTTATATGAGGGACAACTACCAAGAGAACCTAGATGAAGTGAAGACATTTAACTTCATGTAGCATATTTCCCATGCCTTAGACTTGAAATCTCATTTTCAAAGGAAAAAGGGACTATTATTAGTGAAATTATTAGTGAATAGTGAATTAAATTATTAGTGAAATTAGTGAATATTAGTGAAAGAAAACTGGGGAAATCTCAAAATTAAAATGTACCATAAAATTTGGCTTTAAATATGTTCAGTGGCTTTCCCATTAAAGGTAAGAGCTCCTTCTGAGCTATCCCAGTCAGTACTTTCCTCAGGAAAAGATCCTTTCAAGTCCATTGGACAGGATCTTAGAGTCAGGCAGGTCAAAATTCTGGACCAGTGGTACAAGGAGGAGCCCTTCGAACATTTGCAGGGTTATAAAATTGAGCCAGCAGGAACACTTAGAAGGTTCCCTGTGCTACCGGTGCACAGTGTCCACCTGCCCTACTCTCCATCATCCTATCCACTGAACTCGGAAGGATCTTACCTTTGGTAGCAACCAAATTTTTACTCGGGGGGATTATTTTTGGTCACATTGGAATAACTAATGGGAAAGGTGGTAGTAAATTTGTAAAAGTTCCAAAACCATTTTTAAATCACGAGTTGCAGCTCAACCACTCTATGGCTGCTGACTGGATGGCTCTTCTGTAAATAATTTTAAATTTCAGTGGGATGTGCATCCTTCAGCAATCAAGGGCAAGTCATGTTTTGCCTGTAATGAGGAATTAAAGGTAAAGATGTATATAATAGCACCTCTGAATTTTTAATAAAGTAATATAAATCAATTAAGGAGGAAATAACATGTGAGGAGAGAGAGAGTAGTGGATCCGTGCCTGAGCTAACCATAATAATAGCGGAAATAACCAATTTCAGAGGTATTTTGACATTTTGCTGAATGTCATAAGTAAATCAGAGGCAGTGATAATGAACATTTTGGTGATAATAGAGTAAATTTATAAATGAATATAAAAAAAAGATCAGGTATCTAAAAATATTTTGGAAAGTGAAGAATACAAACATGTAAGGAATGGACCAAGCACTGTACTATGCAATGTATTGAGAAAAGGTGCTGCTGTAACTGGGTTTAGGGAATGTGGGACTAAATCCTGCTTTGATACCTGGTACATTACCAGTGTTTGTTATACATATTTCTGTGCTTCATATAAAGAGCAAAACTTTCCACAATACCATAAGAAAATGAGTAAATTAGATTTCTTGAAAGAAAAATTAAACAAAACACTGGAAGAAACTTTAAGCAAGGTGTTTAGTTATGGCATTATTACTCTCTATCTAGATAAGCAGTAACAAGAGGGAGCTACACACCACTTACTGGTCAGTGAACTGCACGAGAGTGAGGTAAGGACTAGGGTTTACAAGTTCCGCTAGTCTTAGTGCCCCTGGTGCAAAACTAGTGGAGAGACTGTGACAAATGTGAAGTGATAGGGAGGACAGTGATACCAGGTATGGTTAGGGATAAGAGAAAATTAAAGAAAAATACAATGCTAAGAAATGCCCAGCAGAAATAAACATAGCTAAAGGGGAATGTATAAATAAGACAATATAGAACCTTATGAGGAAATGAGAGCAGCAATACAATACTATCAATACTATCAGCAATACAGCAATGAATCGACTTGAGAATGGTCCAGGACAGACCGAAACGTTGTCGTCCGTTCACCTTCTAGTGTGTGGTCTGGTCAACTTACTTTAGCCACGTTATTGTGACTCATTGCCTGCAAATACAATACTATCAATTGGACAAACAAAAACAAAAGAGGAAGTATGGAAAGAGAGCGAGCATAATGCTGAGAGCATCAAGAGGCTTCAGGTTGAAATGAAAGAACTCAGGAACATACGGCATGAAAGCAGAGCAGAAAGGATCTGGATAAGAAAGAGGAGCAAAGGAGTTAAGTAATGAAGATAAAGTAGGAGTAAAAAAAAAAAGAGAAATAACAATGAGGAAGTAGTCAAAAAGAATTCAACAGAGGATGACAATTTTAGAACAAAAATCAGCCACAAGTAGTCAAATAAGAGGAAAGAGTTAAAAAGAATAGAAAACTAGCAAGTTGGATGTGATTGAAGATGAGGGAAGATTGAAACATTTGCAGGGCCATCAGGAGAGAAATGGCAAGGAAGCCATCAGGAGAGAAATGGCAAGGAAGGAAGGAAGGAAGATTGGTCATCAATAAATGAGACTCGGCAAAGTGTGTTTACTGGCATTTTACAAAGTTTGCTGGCATTGCAGCCAGTAAAGTTGGTAATTATTGGAGGATTAGGCAGTGTCTGGAAGAGCAAACACAGCTAGTGAAGATCACCTTTAGAATCGGTATCTCATTTTAATATATCTGGGCAAAATAAAAGATATAGGAGGTACAGGTTCAGACACTACAACAGTTTCCTGAGCTAAGATGTGTTCAGGAAACAAAGAGAAGAGGCAAAGAAAGCTAGATAATTAAGATGACTGGAAAATGAAAGGAGTGAGCAATATACCAAGCAGGACAGAGGTCCAGTCCCTGCAGCAACAAGGCCCTTGAGATACACACAAATCACAATAGCATGATGCATTAAATGAACAAATCCACCAGGGCTGTGATGAGGGTTCGAACTTATGCCCGGGATGATCCCAGACGCTGCCTTAGACGACTAGGCCATGGCATGGCAAAAGAATTGCAACCGGGAATTCCACTGACTTCACACGGATCCTGCAGCCTCTCTGAGACACAAGCCAGGGTTTTACACCTGTAAAACCTGAGATGTAATCCAGGCAGACATCCATTCCCCACAATGGAGAATGCAGGTATGCTTAAACACAGTACTTTATACCTCAACGTATCCCAATATTCAACTGGGACTCTAATTTATCTTTCAGGGTTATATCCACCCACTGAAGATGAGTTGCATATTTTTGTCGTAGATGCAATTTGCATAAAGATTTATTGGACAACAAAGAATCCCCACAATGGGGGAAAACACAGTGTAATAAAAGCTTATTAGATTATTGAAGCCTTTAGTTCTTAGATACCCCTGTACATCTAATATTTAATTCTAAGGTTTTCTTCTTTAGCTTCTGGGTTTTCTAGAGCCATCTTCCTTGAGGTTTGGCCAATTATTTCTCAGACCCAGTCTCTTATGGGGACTTTTCTGTTTTGTTGCTTGGCTTCATCTACTTGTACAGTGTTTCCTTTCTTGCAGTCTGTCCTAATTACACCATACTTGCAATCCAAGTATAGATGGATGCAGGTTTTAAGTATGAGATTTTTGTGTCACATATGTGAGCTGTAGTGCTTGTGGTGGTCTCCCATGTTATGAGTGGGGGGCAAGGTTTTCTCAGTGGACACTCATAGAGTTTAAGATCTAGTTGTAATTGGTCTTGAATGTGTTAAGGGCTGTGTTACAAAGACTACATCGACTCCCTTGCAACTTATGAATTAGTAGGCTAATTTCCTAATTTTTTCACTTTAGTTGAAAGCATTTTGCACCACAAGTCGATAAACAGGGTAACATTATATTGTATTTAGATGTTTATGTTTTTATTAGGGGAAAATAAGTCTTTCCTACCTCTAGTACAGTCAAGATTTTTTACTTGTATTAGTAACATGAAATACTTGTGTAGTAGCCACAGCAAATAGTACAATGACATTAATCCTATGCAATGTCCAGTGAATTAGGAGACAACCTATTAGAAATAATTTGTTTATTTTGCTTAATAACATGTGTTTATGTACTCCAGTCCTATGCTATTTATTATTTCAACAGTTTTGAATAAAACATTGTTGGAATATAACTGTAGTGTAGAGGACATACCTGCTGAGTCACCCGTAGCTTCACTTGCCCAGATGAGACAGAAGAGCCGGGGTTGACTGTATTTTCATAGACTGAAAAAACCTTTGATACCATCCTTCACAAAAAGCTAGTGTGTAAACTGAAAAAGTCGGCTGGGATATGTGAAGGATATTGAACTGGCTGAACTTGGTACTTGATGATTACTTGATGGAAACAGTCAAGGTCAGAGAGGAAATGTTGGAATGGAGAGGTAAGCAATCAGGATTTCTTAAGACTTAGTTCTTTGGACTTCAGCTGCTCTTAAAAGGGATGAGTGTAAACATCATTGCTTTGACTGCAAACATAGCAATGTTTGCAGTCAAAGCAACATTAATACAGAATAAACAAAAATTGAGGAGGACTATAGGCTACTTGCAGAAAGCCCTAAACATGCTACAAAGTGGGCAGACACATCACAGCTGGAGTTTAAGTGCATTAATCTAAAAAACACTGATTCACTCTTGGACAGGATTAGAATCTGTAAGGTAACTTAACATTTCCTTCCTATCATTGCAAGAAACCTTACAAACATCTCCAATATATTGACAGTTGAGGAAAGGTAACATTGAGATTACTCAGTCCAGCCAAGATTTTTCCACTGCAAGGAACATTAAACTTATCTCAAAACCCTCCTCTGAACGATACTCAGCTTCCCAAGGAGCCAAGTTTAACAGCTTCCCAAGTTATACCAATATATGACAGATCTAGTTTCTACCAATAGGGTGGCATAACCTAACACATCAACAAGGTTGACAATCTATTTTAAATTAGTCCAAACAAAACCCCAAACTTAACGATGAAGTAAGAAAAAATATCGGGGAATTTCAGCGACCGACTTGCCAGCTCGGAATAGAGCCGTTTATTTCGCTCAAACCCCACCTATTTCTGAGCTAGACCCTTTGATTGCCTCCTAAGACAAAACTCTCTATGCTGCAGAGTTGAGCCAGAGTAGATGAAGAGAACCACATAATCCCCAAGAACCAGCTATTCAGACACCATCAGAGACATTTGTGAAATAACATTAATCCAAGTGAAAAAAACAGGTGGTACAATAGGGAAACCCTTGGAAAATATTTAAAGGCAAATGAGTGATTGACTTTCAAAAACCTCAAGCCTGCAGAGCAACATAACACAATGCCTGTCTAAATCTGAGCGGCTTGGTACCTCAGACTTATACCTGATACCTGAGGGGCTTGGTACCTCAGACTTATACCTGATACCTGAGGGGCTTGGTACCTCAGACTTATACCTGATACCTGAGGGGCTTGGTACCTCAGACTTATACCTGATACCTGAGGGGCTTGGTACAATCTAAAGACTTAGTGGTAACAGCACTTAAACTCTGGGAAGCTGCTGAGGAGCTGACCAGAGAGAGAGGTATTTCATGACATTCAACATGATCATTTTTCTGAGTAAGCTTTAAGTTACCTTATCGATTGAACTTGAATATGGACACATAATTGCCATACACCGAGTGACTTAAACCTCACCATGGTAAGTATCTTTTCAAATAGTCTTGCCTCAGTATACGACGGGGCAGGGAGCTACCTAAGTGGAGAGTGTAGTTCATAACACTAGACCTTCAGATCACTTATAACATTCTCCAAGTGAACCTTTGGAGACTTGAAAATTGTTAAAAATGCTCTGAACCTATCAAAAAACATTCATATGTTCTGCCCCAGAATTATCATTCATATTTCTGAAATTGTGTATTATACACTAATTGTAATATAGGAATTATAATTTTGGATTATGAGAGTTGTAGTTTTTATTATCATGCTTTTTAATAATTTGATTATGCTTATGCAGATATTAAGTAGACAGGATACTACAGAGTTTAATTTTTTTATGTTTAATTACCTATATTCTTACCCACATTTATTAGGGTGGTCGAGAATCTTTACGTGACAGTAGTGGTGGATCTCCAAGATTAGGCCGCAGCAGCATACATACTAGTCCGTTGGGTGGAGTCAGTGCCAATCCTTCAGGTGTGGTGCTGTTGAGCCAGAGACCACTAGATTCTTCACTACCAACACACAAATTGGCACCAGGTAACACTATTTGTAGAAGGTAAAAAATCAAAACAAATGCACACACACTCACACACACACACACACACACACACACATAGTACATACATATATAAACATGTAATATATTTTTAGGAAGGTGATTAATATATTCTCTCTTCCTTGCCATTGTCTTAAAACAAGTGAGACACCATTCACTTTTCTCCCAATGTGGGAATTATATTTTCTTATTCCTTTCACTTCACGAGTCGTTCTCTCATTGGCTGTACTTGCACACATTCATTTATTCAGTTATCTTATACTTTGTCTTGATTTTGAAACCACCTTAACTGTAGTTTCCTTGTAAGGTATATATATATATATATATCCTAGTAACAGTTATTTTACTACAGCAGTACATTACAATAGCTTTCATACAGTATAATTTAGGACATGGTCATTGTCATTTTGAAGGATGGTGTGTAAACAATGTTGTCCCTTTCTGAGCACGGTGCCCTCAGCTGCATCCCTGAACCAAGGCCACCCAGGTCACTGCCTCCACACCATGCTCTCGCTCACTTTGAGTCCCAGCCACACAAAATAATTTGTATATGCTCATGTTGCATAGTATAGGGGTAGGGAGTGAAATGGAAAACATACTGTTCATACCAAGGAACATATTAAGTTATTCATTCCCCCTTCCAAATGATCATTGGGATTGTAAGGATAACCAATTTTCATTTTGAAAATATGTAACTAGTAACTATTTTCATGATAAACAGGGAAAGCTGTTCAGACACAATGTTGGTAAATGCAGTGGACTGCAAGCACCAATAATTAAAGGTGCAAGCCTAGAATTGAGCAACAATTCCATAAACTGTACTGCAGCAAGGAAACTCAAACGAGATTGATTGCCACTTCCGACATGAGTCAGAGAAAATCAGTAGGAGCCATGAGGAGGACGATTCAAACCCACTCACCTGGTACTCCCAAGCACACCCCTTGACTACCACACCACAACATGGTCAAAAGCAATGCAACTTGGGATTCCACTGAATCCTCAAGGGGTCTTGAGGCAACGTCCTAAGTCAGTGGAATCCCGGGTTGCATTGCATTTGACCATGTGGTGTAGTGGTCTAGGGCTTGTGCTTGGGAGTATCAAGTGTGCGGGCTTGAATGCTGCTCCTTACGGCTGCTACTGATTTTCTCATTGATACATCACATTAATGTGATGTCACTGTGCAAATCTTATGTATCTTTGCACACAAGTCACATTAGAGTGTAAATGACTTTGCCCTCAACAAGGACATATCAAAGACAACAAAGGCAAGTATCAAGTAAAAAATCACTTATGCACAATCAAAAACTGCACACAACAAAATCAGAGCCCATACTGGGTGGGTTCTCCTTCATATCCCAACCTGTTGAGATAGTGAGGTAAAGCCTTCCTGGTGCACAGGCACAGTACTAGATAAGCCAAACACCAGGTGGCACCCCAATATGAGAGTCTGATTCCAAGAGAAGCACGTTGGCATGCTTTCTCCGAACCCCATATCTACATTGACAGGAAATTTGAAGGTAGCTTTGGACTAACCAATATGAAAAGAGCATGTGTCAATATAGCCAATATGTCACATGAGCACAAGCAAAAACCCCAGCAAGGATTCACTCAAGAGACTATGTGTTAAATCCATATTGTGTATTAACACACTAAAGCTTTGGTCTGTAGACAGCCCTAAAGGCACACTAAAGGTTACAGTACTGAATATCCTCAGAGGAGAATGATGCCTTCGGTGACAACTGGTCTTTGACAATTTATGATAGGGATGATAACCCTGAAAGCAAACTGAAGCGGAATAACAAAGTTCAGAGACATGCAAAATTACTGTTTACTATCCTATGCAGTTAACATTAAAACATAAAACCCTCTGCACAGGCACTAAGTTTTTAAAGAATAATCAGTCAGCTGATGGAGCCTCTGCAGAGTTGAGATGCAGTTCTTAGTGGACACCACACAGCGAGGGTTGTCACCTTCTCCAACCATGAGGTATTAGTGCCAACACCTGCTGGTGGGTACAGACATTACATATATTGTAATACGAAAATACCTATATTGCAATACATAGACATTACCTATATTGCAATACACAGATACTACCTATACTGCAATACACAGGCATTACCCATACTGTAATACACAGACATTACCTATATTGCAATACATGGACAATACCTGTACTGTAATACATGGACAATACCTGTACTGTAATACATGGACATTACCTGTACTGTAATACATGGACAATACCTGTACTGTAATACATGGACAATACCTGTACTGCAATACATGGACAATACCTGTACTGCAATACATGGACATTACCTGTACTGTAATACATGGACATTACCTGTACTGTAATACATGGACAATATCTGTACTGCAATACATGGACATTACCTGTACTGTAATACATGGACATTACCTGTACTGTAATACATGGACAATACCTGTACTGTAATACATGGACATTACCTGTACTGTAATACATGGACAATACCTGTACTGTAATACATGGACATTACCTGTACTGTAATAACCAACCCATACACAGCTATTTATGGAGCACCACTGTGACATTGGGTATTATTTTTCTTGCTAATATTCCTTAATGTTTGATCACCAGGTATACCATCGGTGTCTTTGTCAACATACCAGAGATTCATGCCTCTTTCCGTCTTGGATGGTTTTCACATTTTTTTATTGATTCTACACTGCTGCTTATTGCTCTTTGTTATGCCTTGAAATGTATACTCTGTCTTATGCAAATATTCTCACATTATATAATTTATTTCTTATTAAAGATACTCTTTATTACTTTACTTTCTAAATGACTTTTCAAATGCATCCTTCACAAACATTTTTTGTTTCCTACTGCAAGAGACACTTGCTAGGCAAACAAAAAACCTGTTAGATACTTTGTCAAGCATTTTACACTGTGCCTTTGTCCTTAACCCGACCGGGGAGCCGGTCGACCGAGCGGACAGCACGCTGGACTTGTGATCCTGTGGTCCTGGGTTCGATCCCAGGCGCCGGCGAGAAACAATGGGCAGAGTTTCTTTCACCCTGATGCCCCTGTTACCTAGCAGTAAAATAGGTACCTGGGTGTTAGTCAGCTGTCACGGGCTGCTTCCTGGGGGTGGAGGCCTGGTAGAGGACCGGGCCGCGGGGACACTAAAAGCCCCGAAATCATCTCAAGATAACCTCAAGATAACCTCAAGATTAACCCTTTCAAGCGGGAAGATGGGCAATAGCTGAAATGGGACAAGTCAATGGGTCAAATCAGTAGCTAAATTGGTACAATAACTCAAGTGGAAGAAGTCAGTAACTGAAGTGGTAGAAGTCAACATCTAAAATAGGAGAAAGCTAAAATAGCAGATGTTAATAGTATAAACTGGAGAAAAAATCAATAGCCATCCTCACTTAGAGAATTACCAGACATAACCAGGCATCATATCAATATGTGATTGAGTAGATACATACAGCAAAGGGTTTATCATTTACAGTAAATGGCACACATCCCCAGACTTCTCATTTTTAACATATATATATTTTGCTAATTATCACCTCTTTTGTGTAATTTTCCTTTTGACATGTTATCACCTCTTTTTGTGTATTTTCCTTTCACCATGGATACATTCCTGCAAAAGCAGGCCGTATAACCATCAGTTCATAAAGTTCTCCTTCACAGTGTGAGCACCAGGCTGTTGTTTATTGTCTTGTTATAGAGTATGTAGAGTTCTGGAGCACTTCTTACTGGCACTGATGTTGAGTTTTGGCTCTCTGAAAGGAAAATATTATTATCCTTTATGATCATACAACCTTATTTGTAATTGTGTAGTACCATACCAGCCTCTCCATAATTCTATTGTATCAGTATTTTAGTTAAACTTAATATGTATTATTTTTAAATTAAAGCTTTCAATAAGTTTCATGTTGCAGCTTAAAGTTTTAAACATACAGTATATTCATTGTATATTAATATTTCATTGATAATTAAATTAGAGTTTTATTGAGAACTTATATGATAATTATAGCAATTACTTTTCAGTTGTGGTAAATAAAACGACACAAAATAAAAGCTCAATATATAGACTAGTTTATTACTTTATTGCTATGCTTAACATTGTTAGATTTATCTTTTGATTATAGATGAGTATCTTTGATTATAATTATGATTATTTTATTTATATAATTATTTTGCTATTTAATTTATTTACACATTCACTTATTGTCCTGTAAGACCCAAAAACCTCTTGTGCATTTGTTTTAATTCATACAAGCTTGACCTTAAAGATGGTGGCGTGGGTTGACAACCTCGGCACTTATGTACCACGTAACCAGTAGTGACCCAGCTCAATATGCCAGGTGTAGATGGCAGCAGTGGTGACTTAAGCAGCGGGCCTGCATCCTTAGGGTCAGGGGATGAGGGCTCGGGCGCATCTTTAGGGTCCCAGAGTTCCCTCTCCCTAACTCAGCCACCAACTGAGAGGACCAAACGGTCACACATGTGGCAGACCGCACCCGTTGTTGACTGGACCAAGGAGCAGGTAGTGTAACCATGGGGAGCATTCCTGACACTCTTAAACGTTCATTCTTAAAAGAAATATTGTGCTTCTTCAGATGCTAAGTTGCTCATTAATCAACTTATCAAGATTGGTAATGGTGTTGCTGCCTGTCTTATTTGAATCATGCTAATGAAACTTATGAAAAGAATGTTGGTTGGAACTTAGATAAAAATGTCATAATGCATCATATTTTACTGAAAGGTCTTTTGAATCTTGGTAAACGTTATGTGATACTGATATACACCCAGCCAGCCTTTCCATTATGCTTACTCAACACTTAATTTAGTAGTTGAACTGACCTATGAATATAAAGCAATTTAAGGTATTCAAAACTAACTCTTAAGCTCCTTGCTGGATGTGAAGGGCTTGGACTAAAAAGTATAACTTTTTCTGTACCTTCTACTTGATGTTCTTGGAATAGTGACTTTTATTACTCATAATTCTTTTCAAACATTTATATGCAAGCAGAAGTTAACCCGTAGTATTTCATTTTGAATTTGTGGGTAGACTTGTGAGTGTCATGAATACATCTCATTGGTTATTGGCATAGTAGTGTGACTCTGTGATTGCTACTTCACATTTCTTGCTTTAAGTTTATTATTTATTTTTTTGAGAGGGGGGACAAGTAAGGTAAGACTATTTTTGATCTTGCCTTTAGTCCAATTTAGTTTCCTGCATCCCACCTTTGCTAACAGGATGATGGATGCTGTGTGTGTGTGTGTGTGTGTGTGTGTGTGTGTGTGTGTGTGTGTTAGAATATCCTATTCGCATTTTCCCGAGGTTAATCTAGCTGTAAATTATATGGCTTCTGTGCACCAGTAATCCAAAATTGTAGTATCATCATTTTTGTGTTATCCTTCATTATTATTTGATGGATTATTTTAAGCTGAAATTTGACGTGCTCAATTATCATGCATTATTTCAGTTTATGAGGAAGGAGTCATTTCCTTTGTGTACTCACTCTAGTTCTCCTTGTGGCCCCACTGAAAGTAACCACAACTTTGAGAACATTTTAAGCTTGTACTTAGGTTAATTAAATAAACTGACTAAGAATATTAGTAAAACTTGAAAGAAAATTTTAAATTCATGCTCAAGTTCATTAAATCAATTAATTAGAAAATTCAATATCAACATAAAAATAGTAAGATTAGGTCAGGGTTTTCCTGCTTTGAACAGTTTACAAATCTTTCAAAATTGTCTTCTGCTCAGTTTAAGGGAATCAGTCACCAATAAGAAAGCTTACACATCATGAAATAAGGTTTACTGATGTAATACTCTTGACATACATCGCTATCTAAGCTGTCTTTACTCTGCTTGATTTCTTTAATCAAGCAGAATATTCATGCCTCTTTAAATAAGCCTCAAGAAAGTTTATACGTCTTCATAGTTCTCGTTGATTTTGTTGCAATCGGAGAAGATAGGATTAGCAAGTCGTTAGAACATTTATTAGCCATTTGAAAAAAGATTTCATATGACAGAGAACACCAGGGGTATAATTGCTTTAACATGCATATTCAGACTAGCAAGATTGATTTTGATGCTTCATGGTTTCAGTATTGTCATTCTGCATTATTTCACCACCATTCCTTTATATAATAATACAAAAATCAGGTCATAATAGTATCAGACTCGTCTAATAGGTGTTTTAAACTTGTTTGCATATGAGTTTTGTAACATTTTGACAAATTAAACATTATTAAAGTCTAGCTACGTTAACATTAACTACTATATTGTATTATGTTAATGTCTTAGTTTATTTTGTTCAGAGTCTGCCCACTTTTATTAGGTACTTTAAATGCAGAGAAACTGTTTTTCCAGCAAATATTTAAATATTTGTGGAATTTCAGCTTAAAATATGAAATAATACAGAGGCATCTACGAATTAGACCGTCATCTTTTTCAAAGCTTATATAGACTAAAGTTCATCGCATGTTGATTGTGACAGGTAAATGGAACACATTTTGGCTTAACAAATGTAAAGTTATATCGAGCGTTTGCTTCCCCAGCTTGAGGAACAATGTGCACGCAGTGACCTACCATTCAGTGTGATTTGTTTATTTCATTAATTTCTTGCTAATACAAGGCTTGATTGTGATACTAATAGTTATGTAATTAATATGGACGGATTAATAAATGGCTTAGTAAAGCATATTTACACTTGATAAATGGCCCAGTGAAGATCCTCCTTTACACAGTGAAGAAGAATCTCTTAATCAATGTAGCCGTGAAGTAAGAGTCGCAGTTGTGCAGAAGAAGAGAGTTTACTGCTGCTATTGTTGCTCAAGTAATTCATTCAGGTGCAGCATGCAGGCACAGTTGTCTTGTGGGTGTGAGGATGCTAAGCATGCATTTAATTAGACTCATGTTGCACAATTATGACCTTGCAATAATGTTTGTTTTCCATATTTGCCTGACACTGAAAGTGATAATGGGACCAAGAGTTGCAAATATTGTAGTTTTTTTTATGTTAATGTTATTTTTTACATGCTCATTTTTATTTTCCAAAGATTTAAATTTTTTAATTGGTTTGCATTGGTTTGATAAGTTTGTTTTACATTTAAAGATTTCTTTAAACATTTTATAAGTTGGTCAATGTAGACTAATTTGTGTGAATTCCTACAGGTGAGTCAGTGGCTGGTAGTCCAAGGGTTAGAGAGTTGCGTCGGACGTTTCCAAGATATTGGTATGACCGGTCCAAGACTACTTAATTTAGATATACGAGATCTTAAGTCATTAGGGCTACCAGCAGAAGATAAAAGCAAGCTTAAGAGAAAGGTACGTGCTGAGGTCTTTTATTTTTCATAATGTAAGATGTTTTCGTTAATTACTCTACACGAGTCAGAGAATAAATAACTCATGGCCTGTTCATCTCATAGTTCTTCTATCTTGAGGTTATCTTGAGGTTATCTACAGTATATTCACTTTTTCATGCGCTTCATCCAACCCATCCTCCTGAAATGATAGTACGTATAGTAACCATTTGGTTCAAAGTACCAATATGTAGTGATGGATCACCAATAATTCACATTTTGTATGTATAATTTTAGAGTCCAGAAAAAATAAAGCTTAAAAACCAAACTTTATTTTTTCTATTTTCTAGGCCTAGTATAGCATATGTACTATATTAGGCCTAAGATAGTATGTATTAAGCCTAGGATTGCTAGGAGAGGTTAGGTTAGGTCAGGTCTTGCATTTATGTTGTCATTCAAAAAAGTTTTCCCATTTGTCCAAATTCAGTAACACAGAAGTAAACTTTTTGGTAGTCTATAACTACATATTGGTACGTTCAACCACTTAACAGTTACTACAGTATAAGTACAGTACAGTTCTTTCATTTTAGAAGTATGGGCTAACTTTATCAAGAGGCCATATGCCTTATAATCTTTCTCACGTGTCTTGATTAAAATTATTATTATTGTTTCTTTAGAAGTGTGTTTAATTTTCTTTCTTATATTTTTGCAGGTTAAAGAATTAAGATTAGCGGTTGAAAAAGAGCGTAAACAAGCCGAAAAAGAGAAGAAAGAAAGAGAAAGATTACAGAAGAAGGCAGAAAAGCTGGCAGAGAAGGCAGAAAAAAAGAAAAAATAGTTTTATACGAGGTAACAACTTGCGTTAGTACATAATCTTTGGAGGAAATATGTGATTGCTATGTCAGGCAGTTTATTATTTCCTTCCATTCGTAACATGATCCTATTACCTGACAAAACGGTCTTGAAAGTACAATGCAGATATAGTTTGTTTGCATATCCTATTGACTAAACTGTATAAATCCTTATCTTTTGTTTATTTGATGGGGGGGGGGGGAAGAGATAACAGATTTTTAGTCTTCCGTTTCTTGACACCATGACTCATTAAGTATGATCTAGTGGTGCATTTAACTCTTCCAAATCTGTAAGTGCAATAACTTCTTATTTAGGACTGGGATAAAGTTTTTGCATCCGTGCCTAGATAAAACAAGTTAGTGTGTGTACTAAGGATGGCCACTGAGATTATACTTTTCCTGTGCTTATATAATTATTTCTTTCCTAATGTGAAGGGGATGGGCAGTGTAGCTACAAGTCCATGTTAAACCGAACAAAAGTGAAATTTTTTTTCTAATAGATGTTTTACACAGCATGGGAGAAGGGTTCTTCTTTGCTGGCTTTAACTGCTTAACTTGGAAATTCTGGAGAACTTGAGATGGCAGAGAAGCAAATGATGCCTTAGGGTTATCATCTTCAGAGGAATGCTTGAAAGAAGCCATTGTGAGTGGCATTTGTTTTTCATGATCTTTGCATTTTTTTCATTATGTCAACTGTCAACTTATATTTTCCAGCGGTCATCTGTCGTCTATCTTCCTACGTTAGACATTCAGACTGACTGACCTTGTGTGACTTCCGCCATCATCTGTGGTTTTTGTTTAACTCGTAATGTTTATGAGATTTTGTGTTTTATCCAGTCAGCATTTCTTTATAGCATTTATAGTCAAATTAGTTAAAACTTTTTTATATCTGTTTTTACTGTTTTTCTCAAATTTCTAATTTCTGTAAATGAAATCTATCAACATCTTGTTTGTTAAATGGTTAAAAACAGAGCCGATAGGTCGAGTGAACATGAACCAAGATCACGATGACCTTCTCTTCTGTACCTGTGATGTATATGCGATTTGTGTTTTAACAAAAACATTTGGTGTATTTGTTGTTTTGCATTGAACTATTTAAGTATTTTAAAGACTGGTCTGTTTGTTGTTATGAACATAAAGGAAACTGATGTACATGGCACTTCATGTAAAAATTCATTGATTACGTTCTTCTGATCAGTGACCAGCTACACACTGCATGTCCTCTGATACTTCCAACTCATACTAGTGCGATAGTGACCAAAAAAAAATTATGTAATAAGTTATGTATTTTAGCTAATTTCCTTTGCCTAGTATGTATTTTCCCTCCCAAGGAACCAAAATCTTACCTAGTAGACTAAATCCTGTAACATATATGAAATTTACCCTTGTGTATGTCCAATGTACAAGTATTGCAAACACTTTTCATAGTGTAATTACATTCTGCAAAGAGGGGTCTTTGCTTAACTAATGAATGTATATGTTGCCAAATGTCTTCTTAACATTCTCATTGTTGGCCAAAGTCTGAAAACATTATAATTATAGTGTAGCATGCACCGCTCACATCATGTTGGTAACTGCGGCATGCACCGCTCACATCATGTTGGTAACTGCGGCATGCACCGCTCACATCATGTTTGGTAACTGCGGCATGCACACCACAATTATAATGTAGTATGCACCGATGTGACACCGGTGACTGTGGCATCCACACTGCTCTTGGAACCAAGCTCATATCCACCAAACATTATCCTAAATTCTGGGCAGTAACTCCTTAGCCAATGCAGTCTTGGCTAGTCCGATGTCCAGGTAAATATATATATATATATGGGCAAGTCATTACACATCATTACATGTACACAGGAATTGTGATGACCTTAATTACTGTGAACTAGTGGACTACAGTGCATTGAGAAATGCTTTACAAGCAATGAACTTTCACCATTTTTTTTTCCACAATGGCAAAAGCCCAAACCTGAAATGTGGTGGGGAATTTTATGTAATGTATTAATATTTGCTACCCATTGAACATTTGGAAACAAAAAGGTAATGTTCTACTTTCCTAACATACAAAAAGATTTTTGGATTTCTATTTGTGTTTTGTATTATTAATAATTATTTAAAAGAATTTTAATTTGCAAATTAAATTTTCCAAAATACTACATTTTGAAGCTGAAATTATTGTTATTAAATTAACTTTATAAAAGTTCTATTTAAAATATTGTTTGCACTCACAATCACTCATGTATGAATTCATTGATTTTATTTTATATGAATGGGAATAAGTCAGTGAGTATTATTGATAATTGTACTTTTTAAGGCAGTTAATTGCATATGACAGACAGATGTAAATACCGGACACGCTGTTGAAATGATCATGTCTGTATATTTATCTGTGCTTTTGTATAATAAAGTATTTAAAGAAATTAAACAACATTTATTTATTTTAAGCTCTGGTGATAAAACAATCAAGCAGGGAAATGTTAAATACTTTTTTTGGTGGGGCCCACAATAGCTTCCTAGTTTGTTAAAGGCCTCGTGTGACCCATCCCTCGCCAATTAGAAACCAGGGGGCAGAGTCACGAAGTAGTTACGCAAGCACTTACAAACCTGAACATCATCCCTCAATCTTTGGCGACTTTGTTTACAATTATTAAACAGTTAATGAGCTCCGAAGCACCAGGAGGCTGTTTATAACAATAACAACAGATGATTGGCAAGTTTTCATGCTTGTAAACTGTTTAATTAATGTAAACAAATGCGTCAAAGATTGAGGAAAGACGTACACGTTCGTAAATACTTGCATAACTGCTCCGTGAATCTGACCCCTGATTCAGACTGTGATTAACTCTAAAAGGTGAGAGGTAACCTAGGGATCACAAATCAACCCAAAACCAGGGTAAACCTAGGTACTGACCACAGTACAGTACAGTACTGACCACAGTACTGTACAGTACTGACCACAGTACAGTACAGTACTGACCACAGTACAGTACAGTACTGACCACAGTACAGTACAGTACTGACCACAGTACAGTACAGTACTGACCACAGTACTGTACAGTACTGACCACAGTACAGTACAGTACTGACCACAGTACAGTACTGTACAGTACTGACCACAGTACAGTACAGTACTGACCACAGTACAGTACAGTACTGACCACAGTACAGTACTGACCACAGTACAGTACTGACCACAGTACAGTACAGTACTGACCACAGTACAGTACAGTACTGACCACAGTACAGTACAGTACTGACCACAGTACAGTACAGTACTGACCACAGTACAGTACAGTACTGACCACAGTACAGTACAGTACTGACCACAGTACAGTACAGTACTGACCACAGTACAGTACTGACCACAGTACAGTACTGACCACAGTACAGTACTGACCACAGTACAGTACTGACCACAGTACAGTACTGACCACAGTACAGTACAGTACTGACCACAGTACAGTACAGTACTGACCACAGTACAGTACTGACCAAAGTACAGTACTGACCACAGTACAGTACTGACCAAAGTACAGTACTGACCACAGTACAGTACAGTACTGACCATACTGCAGCACAGTACTGACCACAGTACAGTACTGACCATACTGCAGTACAGTACTGACCACAGTACAGTACAGTACTGACCATACTGCAGCACAGTACTGACCACAGTACAGTACAGTACTGACCATACTGCAGCACAGTACTGACCACAGTACAGTACAGTACTGACCACAGTACAGTACAGTACTGACCACAGTACAGTACAGTACTGACCACAGTACAGTACAGTACTGACCACAGTACAGTACAGTACTGACCACAGTACTGTACAGTACTGTACAGTACTGACCACAGTACAGTACAGTACTGACCACAGTACAGTACAGTACTGTACAGTACTGACCACAGTACAGTACAGTACTGACCACAGTACAGTACAGTACTGACCACAGTACAGTACAGTACTGACCACAGTACAGTACTGACCACAGTACAGTACTGACCACAGTACAGTACAGTACTGACCACAGTACAGTACTGACCACAGTACAGTACTGACCACAGTACAGTACAGTACTGACCACAGTACAGTACAGTACTGACCACAGTACAGTACAGTACTGACCACAGTACAGTACAGTACTGACCACAGTACAGTACTGACCACAGTACAGTACAGTACTGACCACAGTACAGTACTGACCAAAGTACAGTACTGACCACAGTACAGTACAGTACTGACCATACTGCAGCACAGTACTGACCACAGTACAGTACTGACCATACTGCAGTACAGTACTGACCACAGTACAGTACAGTACTGACCATACTGCAGCACAGTACTGACCACAGTACAGTACAGTACTGACCATACTGCAGCACAGTACTGACCACAGTACAGTACAGTACTGACCACAGTGCAGTACAGTACTGACCACAGTACAGTACAGTACTGACCACAGTACAGTACAGTACTGACCACAGTACAGTACAGTACTGACCACAGTACAGTACAGTACTGACCACAGTACAGCACAGTACTGACCACAGTACAGTACAGTACTGACCATAGTGCAGCACAGTACTGACCACAGTGCAGCACAGTACTGACCACAGTACAGTACAGTACTGACCATAGTGCAGCACAGTACTGACCACAATACAGTACAGTACTGACCATAGTGCAGCACAGTACTGACCATAATACAGTACAGACCACAGTACAGTACTGACCATAGTGCAGCACAGTACAGTACAGACCATAGTGCAGCACAGTACTGACCATAATACAGAACAGTACTGACCACAGTACTGACCATAGTGCAGCACAGTACTGACCACAGTACAGTACTGACCATAGTGCAGCACAGTACTGACCATAATACAGTACAGTACTGACCACACTGCAGTACGGTACTGACCATAGTGCAGCACAGTACTGATCACAGTACAGTACTGACCACAGTACAGTACAGTACTGACCATAGTGCAGTACAGTACTGACCATAATACAGTACAGTACTGACCATAGTGCAGCACAGTACTGACCATAATACAGTACAGTACTGACCACAGTACAGTACAGTACTGACCATAGTGCAGCACAATACTGACCATAATACAGTACAGTACTGACCACAGTACAGTACAATACTGACCACACTGCAGTACAGTACTGACCATAGTGCAGCACAGTACTGACCATAATACAGTACAGTACTGACCACACTGCAGTACAGTACTGACCATAATACTGTACAATACTGACCATAATACAGTACAATACTGACCATAATACAGTACAATACTGACCATAATACAGTACAATACTGACCATAATACAGTACAATACTGACCATAATACAGTACAATTCTGACCATAATACAGTACAGTACTGACCATAATACAGTACTGACCATAATACAGTACAGTACTGACCATAATACATTACAATACTGACCATAATACATTACAATACTGACCATAATACATTACAATACTGACCATAATACAGTACAATACTGACCATAATACAGTACAATTCTGACCATAATACAGTACAGTACTGACCATAATACAGTACTGACCATAATACAGTACAGTACTGACCATAATACAGTACAGTACTGACCATAATACAGTACAGTACTGACCATAATACAGTTCAGTACTAACCATAATACAGTACAGTACTGACCATAGTACAGTACAGTACTGACCATAATACAGTACAGTACTGACCATAATACAGTACAGTACTGACCATAATACAGTACAGTACTGACCATAATACAGTACAGTACTGACCATAATACAGTACAGTACTGACCATAATACAGTACTGACCAAATTATAGTACTGACCATAATACAGTACTGACCGTAATACAGTACTGACCAAATTATAGTACTGACCATAATACAGTACTGACCATAATACAGTACCAACCATAATACAGTACCAACCATAATACAGTACTGACCATAATACAGTACTGACCATAATACAGTACTGACCATAATACAGTACAGTACTGACCATAATACAGTACAGTACTGACCATAATAAAGTACAGTACTGACCATAATACAGTGGTGTACCGATTATAATAACAGTACAATACTGACCAGAATACAGTATAGTACTGACCAGAATACAGTATAGTACTGACCATAATACATTACAATACTGACCATAATACAGTACAATACTGACCAAATACAGTACAGTACTGACCATAATACAATACAATACTGACCATAATACAGTACAATACTGACCATAATACAGTACAATGCTGACCATAATACAGTACAGTATTGACCATAATACAGCACAGTACTGACCATAATACAGCACAGTACTGACCATAATACAGCACAGTACTGACCATAATACAGTACAGTACAGACTAATTATGTACTGGCTGCAATGCTGTATTGACTATGATGTAATACAACTCATACTGGCTGCTATTCAATACAGTACATACTGGCTGCTATACAGTACTGATGTACTGGCTGCTATGGTTTACTGCATTGACTGTAATGCAGTACAGTATTTATCATAACGCAAAAGAAGCCACATTGCAGTACAGGCTGCAATGTAGGCCAGAATACACTAAAGGCCACAACGCAGAATTGATTACAATGCCATGTTGGCCATAATGCAATACAATCTATACAATAATACTGGCCACAAATGTATTGCATGATGCAATATAATACAGGTCAAAGTGCAGATGATGTAAAGTCAACGAGGAGAGTAAGTGAAGAGGACTGAAGGATATTGTGAAAAGACCTTGATATACTTGTACTTCAGGAGTGAATTTGGATTTCAGTCCAAATAAGTGTAAAGTAATAAAAATGGGTAAAGGAAATAGGAGACCTGTATTTAACTGCTTTGCGATGATTTCGGGGCTTAGCGTCCTAGCGGCCCGGTCCCTGACCAGGCCGAGGAAGCCGAAGAGAACTAAACTATAAGGGGAATGGTAATTACAAGACACAATAAAAGACATAATCCCAACACTTAACACCAGAAGCTCATGTGAACAGTATAGCATCAGATATGGGTGGTAAATGGCTATTGCAGTTTAATCTCAACTGGTTATTATTGGTTAACAAATTATAACAAATTGGTTATTATTATTATTATTATTATCATTTATTCACAAGAAGGCACAATGTGTTGGTGAGATGACATTAGACTGGTATTTGTACATTCTTGCAAAGTCACTAACACGCATAGCATTTCGGGCATTTCGGGTTATCTATTGCTGGGGTTTAACACAAGGATGGATTTAAGAAAGTTAAACCATGGAATCTTTCAAAAATACAGTACTATATACATTAGGCCAGTCTTCTAAGTATGCAGAACCTGCATGGAGCCCTGGTCAGAGACAGGGCCGCAGAGACGTT